ATAACGGTCGACCTATATACCGAATTCCACTTTTCCTGCACAACTTTTCAGAGGCCGGCATGACTACCAATGGCGGGCATTTCTTCGTCGAAACTTGCCGGGGACCGTCGGACCGTGGGCGCTTCATGCGCTCAAATCATGGTCGTTGCCTTTTGAGATAAGCCCCGAACTTCCCTGGAACCCTCCAAAACCCTTTCTGGGAAAAAAGGACCACGGGACGTTTTACCCCAACAGAAGCATCTATCACAGCGGTCTGGACTGAAGGCCCCCAAAAAACCACAGAAAGAAATTGCGTACGCCTTTCGAGGGACCCCCAACACCCACATAACACACCCCCGCAAGGGGTTGCGTTTGGGGTCGTTTGGGGGGTGAGATGCTGTGCAGTAATTCACAAGTTGGACACAAGGCATCCCGCTTAGATCCTCAGTCCGTTTTACCACCCGAAACTATTTGTGCAAATATGTACAATGCCCGTATTCACAGCCAGGGCTTCCATCGCCAACACCTATCTCCAACCAAACGAAACAAACCCAGCCCAAAACATGTTCTTCTTTTCCGAAATATCGCAATGACAGGCCTGCGAAGGGTTTACTTTTTATCTCCCTCTTTGTGAAAATAAGGGGACCCCACAGAAGTCTAGAACCCCCTTGAAGAAGGAGTCAATTTGATTTCCCCATGTTTCCCCCAAAAAAGACCATCAAAAGGCAAACCCTGGGCTGTTAGTTGGTTGCGGTTGGAGTGTAGCCCAACTCGTCTAATTGATGCCCCTGCCTTTATCCCCAGGAGCACAAAACAGGCTTTTGGATGTCTATCCCCGAGACATAAACACTCGTGTTCTGCACTGTGGCATTTTCATATATATATATATATACACATATATCTACACACATAATATATACATATATGTGTTGCTGCTTACTCAGTGTTGCTGACAAGATGAAACACGTGCAATGACGTTGATGTGAATTGCATACAACGCATACTAACGCCTGAGGGCTCATCAGTTAAACTCAGGTGCAGTTTCCCTAGAACATACCGTACTCTTCTCAAAGAGTGCGCGGCATCGAGAAATTGCCTCAAGCCGAGAATTTCGCCATCAGCATGTGTTGACGTATCTTTCAACATGGGCAAGCTCCCAAACTGGAGGGTTGGACACCACCCTTGAGGCTCACAAAAAATGGTCTGCCATTTAGCCTCTCTTTGCACAACCCCCAAAAACCCGTGCTTCTGTCTCTCCCGAAACGGAGACCTCCAAGTGTCAAAGGCTTTCTCCCGGTTTCTCCCACGCTTCCTTTCCAGGCGGCCAGGTAGTAGACTGATGGCAGTGGCGGCAAGACGAGGCCCCAGCCATGCTTGCACAGGAAAAGCGACCTGAGTCTGCCGTCAGATTTGTTGGGGAAACCCTCGGGCGTGGGGGGGGGGGGAAATTATAGCTGGGGCTCTAAACCCCTCAAGGCCTTAAGGCCTTATCCTGAGTAGCCTTGGCATCGCAAAGACCAGGACCCGTCAGCGCCCTTTGACAAGTTGGGTTACAACCCCTTCTTTGCAAATCCCGGCCTGGCTCAGCTCAGCTCAATGCACGCAAATAACTGTTGAGGGGTTCGGTGGATTTCCCTTTCAAAGGTTGCAACCTACTGGTGGAATCCTGTAGAACTGCCAGCTTTGGACATCCAAGCAAGGGAAACTCAAGACCTGGTTTTGCGGGGCAGTGCGGTGAATTTTTGGGAAAGGCATGATGCTTTGTGTGCACCCTGCGAGCCAAGGCGATACCTGGCCCAATGCACTGCTTTCCAACCTGCAGTTTTCCCGACCTGAAGAACATAATAGCAGGTGCGTGTGTGTGTGTGTGTGTGGGCCTGTACACAAAGGCGTGTCTACATACACAAATAAACCATTGCTGTAGTACATGTAAATGAATCCAGGGTACATGTACATAATACGTATATTTGCATTACATATATATATATATATTTGTGGGTTTGGCTTCAGAAGGAAACATGGGGCCTCGCCCAGTTGAAAAAAGCCCATATCCGTGACTTCTTGTAGCTGCGTATCAAACTACAAACCCCTTTGGGAACGGCATTTGAAGGCAACCAACATGACTATCAATTTCGAGGGTGCCAAGTTTTGACAAGTACCCACATGCTTTTCCAACCTTTACTCGTGCCTTCATACCAGGGCATCAAGTTGCACCCATGCCCTCTGCTTGTGGCTTTCCTCGTCCTGCCGGAATACCAAGGAATACCCAAGCTGTATGAGGGTGTGGCTTGTTCAAGAGAACCCGGATTGGTTGGTTTCAGAGAGAAGCTAAAAGGAAGCAATTTGTGTTGGGGTTCCCTGATCTTGAGACAAACCCACAACCACACCGCTTTCTCTGTTTGCAGATCATGCGCTTTGAGCGCTCCCCAACCCCTGGTATGATGGCCAGACAAAACGTGGTTGTTGCATCCCTGATAAGGATGCAGAACCTACGATCGTGAAACCAAACAGTTCCAGCACGCACGCATACAAACACACACACACACACAATCACACATATGTACACCAGCAAAACACGCAAACACACAAAAACAATACATGGAGAGACACAAAGACGATAAAACAGAACGTCACCCAGGAAAAACAAGGCCAAGAAGAATCATAACTCCCAAAGGATGACCACGGGAACCCCAAAAACAACAACAGCAGCCGATGTTTCGGAGAATTGCTTACAGATGATGGCGTGCCAACCAAACAGGTTGGAGCGGGGACAAAGGCAAACCATACAAGAGCAGCTCTCGCAATCCTGACATCAACCAAACAAAACTATAACAATGAATGAATGAATGAATGAATGAATGAATGAATGAATGAATGAATGAATGAATGAATGAATGAATGAATGAATGAATGAATGAATGAATGAATGAATGAATGAATGAATGAATGAATGAATGAATGAATGAATGAATGAATGAATGAATGAATGAATGAATGAATGAATGAATGAATGAATGAATGAATGAATGAATGAATGAATGAATGAATGAATGAATGAATGAATGAATGAATGAATGCAATGAATGAATGAATGAATGAATGAATGAATGAACGAACGAATGAATGACTGAATGAGTGAATGAATCAATCAAATCAACTCAAATCAAATCAAGTTAAGCAAGTCAAGTCAAGTCAAAGCAATCAAAGCAAGCAAGCAAGCAAGCAAGCAAGCAAGCAAGCAAGCAAGCAAGCAAGCAAGCAAGCAAGCAAGCAAGCAAGCAAGCAATCAATCAATCAATCAAATCATTCAATCAATCAATCAATCAAATCAATCAAACCAATCAAATCAATCAAATCAATCAAATCAATCAAATCAATCAAACCAATCAAATCAATCAAAACAATCCAATGCATCCATCCATCAATCAATCAACCAACCAACCAATCACATCAATTCAAAACAAACAAATCAAGTCAAATGAAAACAAATCAAATGAATCAGTCAAATCAAAGCAATTCACATCGAATCAAATACATATCAAATAATATCAAATCAAATGGAACCAACTCGAGTCAAACGAACGAACGAACGAACGAATGAATCAAGCAAGCAAGCAAGCAAGCAATCAATAAATCAAGCTATCAAATCAGCACTGGCAAACAAGAAACGAAAAAGCCAGCCATGCATGTAAGAATACAAGCATGCAAACAGCACCCTTGACAAGCTCGGCCAAGCTGCTGGTAACAGTACAAAAGGGGCACCCCGGCGAGGTTCCACCAGCAAAGCCTCAAGCGCGAGGCTGAGGCGAGTCAACGTGTGCATTGGATGAGGATCCCCCCTTGGAATTGGTTATGGGTCAAAACGCCGTACACCCAGTGAACATCCCAATCCCCACTAAAATAGACTAAAATGGGGGTGCACCTACCCCGAAAATGGTACCATTGGTGTTGACCTACGGCCAATTCAAGTTCTTGCTCCAACTTGATCCAAGCTTCAACTTTTTAGGTGTTTAGGTGGGCAGAGTCTGCTCACACTTGGCAGAGGTTGATCCTAAATCATTCTGTTCCAATCCTCTTTTGCAAAAGCCATTCTTTCTGGGATGTACATTGCCACTTTCTGCCATTGGACATTCCTGGACTACCCTAAAACAGATTTGCAACGTCCGTGGCTTCTCAGAATTCGTGTGATCTCTCGTTCAGATTGGCCAGGCTCCCGATGCCCAAAACAAAGATGGAATGTGATAAATCGCGCGTCTGGATACGCCACTCGGCATGCTGCCCTCGCCAGGTTCTCATATTTTCCCTCAGCTCCGAAGAGGAGTCGAGACGGTCACAGGGAAATCCGCTTGCAAAACAAGGCATCATTGAGATGCCTGTGGACTCCTAAAAAGTAACAACCTGGAAGTACTGCTTCATTCATAGACAGCTGGGGGCCCCCAGTTGCAAGAGGTCGCTCAACTTCCGTACACCAAAAAAACAAGCCAAAGCGAACGGACCACGCTGTAGAACTCGTGTCTGGCATTGGGAAACCTCAGCGCGTTTGCTTGTTGACTTGCACGCTGCGAAATGGCAGTTAGCAGTTTGCGCACTAGGGCCAAATCGTGAGTTCTTTGGCAAGTTCAAACTGTGCTTTCTGGCGGCAAGTGTTTTATGCCAAACATAAGGACGCTTTTGCCGCCTTTGATGGTAGGCCACCTGGAGCAGTTGGCTTGCTCAAGCCCACAAATAAGTCTTTGTTTGGACGTTGCTAGGAAAGCTGCCGCTGCCCATTCAACATCTCGTCGGGAACGCCTTGAAAGTGATAGTTACCACCTAGCGACTTCCGAAGCCACATGCGGCCGCAATCCGCCCGCGGTGCTTTCAATCGCAGCTCTGGCACTTCAAAGCTCTGAATGGCTAGGATTTCCGGCGCTGCGGCTCTGTGAGTGACCAGTCGCAAGCTCCCGAATCGCACGCATCGGTCAGGCCAGGTCGCAGGTCCGACTTCTTGCCACAAAGGCCGCGTGCTGCGAAGGCGAGTGTCACTCTTCGTCCAGAGAATCCGTGAGCTTCGATCGGGTAATGGTCTGGTTGTTCACTGCGAACATGTCCTCCTGTGGCCAGTCCTTGCATGCAACAAGAACCGTTGCAAAGGCACCATTTAGTCAAACTGGGCCTAAACAAACATCATTCAACAGGCACACATAGCAACAATACTTTCTTTGAAGCTAGATTCCTTCGGATCGCACATTCCCATGAAGGCCATGGTGTAATCCGACTGCTCCGCCAACCACTCCACAAACTCTTCCTTGGTATCCCACTGCCGCAAGCCCGGCAGTTCCGGCGGATAGCCATCACAGCCGATCTCTCCATAGCCCCATCCCTTGGATTTCGTCGCAAAGACACAGTAGCCGCAGTAGTCGCGGTGTATGATCTGAGGCAAGTGGTAGAGCTCCTTGTCATAGCCTTTCCCCGCTTCCAGCTGCTGCTTCAGCTTGCAGGCCACCTGTTCCGCAAGCTCCCGGCCAAAGCCTTCCTTCGACAAGGCGGCGAGTACGTCTGGCTCCTGCCAAGCGAAGACCATGGCCCGGGACGCCCGCGCGAAACGACGGGACAGCGGGAGCATGCGACGCTGCGGATGGAGTGAGTCTGGGGGGCCAATGCTCTGGACATCTGGTGGTCTGGCGGTTTGATTGGTGGTGTGGCGATTTGATTAGACAATACTTAGTAAGCAAGCACTTGATGTGAACGGAACGGGGGTACTGCAAGGCACGTCTGCAAGGTCCCCTCTAAGACTCTGCATAAAGAAGCTCCTTCATGCCCATTTTTCCCCATCCCCGGGCTTCCCCACATCCATCCGAACTTCTCCGTGGTGATGTCCCAAGTGTAGGGAATGAAGTGCTCTCCTGGCGCCCCACAACATGCCCTCTTTGCACCCTCCGTGGTCATTTGGAGACCAACCTCGCCATTCCAAATCTTGCCCTCCGGTTTTTTCCTGGACACCAAATCGGGGGGGGGGGGGGTGGGGAAGGGGGGGGAGGGGGCAGACCCGTCCTGTAAAAACCACTAGTTTCGCCCGGGGGGGCGGGTACTCACCCAACCATGAACACAAGGGAGGGCATCGCGCTTCGTGCGGTTTCACTGCAAAGCCATCGGAGGCTGCGGGCTCAAGACAGGCTCCGATCTTCGGAATCACTTCGAATCCATTCGCATGGAGAAGTCATTCGCATGCGGCCCGGATTCAAGGCCCTTTTCGGACATTGTTCGCTCGTTTAGAAACGGGGAACCAGAACAATGCCAAACAAATTGCCGAGGGGTTTGCGGACCTGAAGCCGGCGGAAGGCTGCAAAAGCTCGGAGTCGCTGAGCTGTTTTGTCAGATCCCCCGCTAAAAGTGTTCACTTTTAGTGGGCGAAATGGGAAACCCCCTCTAAACACGAAAAGTCTAAAAAAGCTACGGGGATGGCTGGGAGCCACCAAGTCCAATATCTGCTGCTTTCAAAACATGTAGCCACGTGTCAGTAGGGACACTTCCTGACTCATCTTTCCCTCTTTGAAGCAGAGGCGCCACGATTTGCCACGTCCATATCAGCTCGCTACTTCTCATCCCAAGCTTTGACCATGGTGGACCTGGTTGACCCGTGCAAGACCTTGAGGGGTGTCCCGTGTGCTGCGGCTCTCGTTTGGGACTTCGGCAAAGAGGAAATTATCTGATCTATCTCAAGAGATTTGGATGCAAAACCATAGGGACAACGCTCATGTTTTCTTTTCGAGCAGTTCGAGCAGTTGGATTCTAAACAGTAAGTTAGGTCTGGCAATGCTCATTGGCGGTTTGTCTACACGTCCAACATCTGCTGCTAGTGGGGAAAGACAAACATCCAACATGTCCGCCTTGTCTGTCATCCCTCCCAATCCCAAGCAAGGGGGCGTCTGTATGTGGATCATGGGACAGGTGCCCCCTTTCAACATCACCAAAAAGAAACTGATCTTGAAAAGCCCGAAAGGTGATGCTTGAAGCACCCAAAAACAGAAGTACAGGGACATAAGGACCCCGGCCCCTGCCCCAGCCCATCGTTTTAAGGGTCCGACACATACCCAAAGCTCCGATCATGGCACCCGCCAAAAAAAAAAAGCGTCGCTTACCCAAAGCTCCGATCATGGTCGCTCCTTTGGCGCAGGCGTTGCCGTAAAGGAGGTGCGCCAGCACCATGAAGAGCCCAGGGTTCAGCCAGCTGCCCAAGTTTCGGACCGACTGCACGTAGCCTGGGCCAGGGGCCGCATGCCCGCATGGGCACGCGTCAAAATCGGGATTTGGAACCCGACAAATGTGCTTGTTCCTCGGGTTTCTCAGGAACCCAAGGAACAAAATAGGCAACTGGCTCAAAATGGGCACCGCGTAAAGGCACAGAAGTCGTACCTACTGAGCCCTCTTTTGCCAGCTTTCCTCGTGACTCCACAAGGCAGCGTTTGGTTGGATGAAGGTCAAGCCTTGCAGGCTGGGCGCCCCCAGATTATGTCTGTGGCTCCTTGGCGTGTCTTCCCGAAACGCAAGACTCAATCATCCGAAGTGGGTAAGTGTCAAAGTAGGGGGAGGTCAAACAAAAAAAAACAAAACAATCAATCAAACAGACAAACCCGTGCTCGCATCGACCAAAACAGGGGCGAATTCATTGCGTCCTGACAAAATTGTCATCCTTCTCACAGGTACTCAGATTGCATCCCGCCCTGGCCTCTCAACAGGACCCACTCCTCCCGACCAAAGTGGAACCTCACAAAAGGTCCCGAGGGGCATCGGCTTGGGACCAGTCGGTGAAGCCCGTGAGACAGAGGCTAAGCCGACCACTGGCGATGATTTGCTCAATGGATACACCGTTCTGAAAGGGGGTCATGACTGGCCCGGTTTCACTCTCAGACATCCTCAAAACCGTGTACCGGACCGGAAAAACAAAAAAAAGGACACCCAACAAATGGGACACCAAAAAATGGGACGCCAAAAAATGGGATACCAAAAAATGGGATACCAAGAAAAACACCTTGAGACGCCAAACATGGCAAGCACTTACAGCCCAAGTCTTCAGGCTCGGCGCAGCCCAGGGTGATGAGCAGCAGCAGCGTCCAGGAGACCCGCGTCTCGGCGACCATCTTCACCTGGGCTGCACAGCCGCAAAGTCGGCTCCGCGGCGACGTGGGCCATGGCTAAGCCAAGATTTGAGGGCCAGGTTTGAATTTGGCAGTTTTTGGGCCATTTCTTCGGCAATGTTGGGCCATTTTGGACAATGACCGTGACGTTCAGGTCTGTCCTTTCAACATGAGCCCACTAGGAGACTGATCTTCAAAAAGGCCCAAAAGGAGGTGCTGTAATGACCCAAAAAGGGCAATAGGACCCCCCGAACCGGAGAATTCTACGCGCTTCCCCAGGAAGCCACTTTAAGCATCCGCGAAAAGGGACCCCACTTCGCCCAAGTAACGTGTAAGCAGGGAAATATAGGGCCCTCGGCAGTTTACGTCCTTTCTTCGACCCCAGCGAGAAGTTCGGGTCCGGCTGTGAATCATCAGGCACGGACGAGCTTCAAATTTGTTTCTTGTCGGATGAATCTACCCCTGGTTGGTGAACATTCTAATTGTTCAACTACCCTTGAAGAGAAAAAACAAAAGAGCCTGCTTGGGGTTGACAGTGTTTACCAGGGACATCACCAAACCAAAAGGCAATTAAAGGGTGAAACCCACTGAGCAATATCAGAAGCAACGTCGCTTTGCTTTCGGGAAACCGTGGTTTAGAGGGTGGCCCCAAACAAGTGGGATCTCGGGGTTGCTCCTTCACTCGAGTCACAATCAAAACCTGGTACAAAAATCGCGGACAGTCGCATGGCTGGGACAGTCCCTAACCTTCACTTATCCAGGATTTGATTGTCGGCCGTTCAACATGGAGTGGCCAATCCGAATCCATAATTTTAGTGGAAAAACCGCTGCGGAATTGGACCCCTTGTGGGCATCGAAGATCACTGCTTGCTTCTCTCCAAGACGCGTCCACCAGCTTGCCCACGCGAGGGTGCAAGGCGGTTCCTCGCGAACGGCGTGCCAAACATCGGAGGCCCCGAATGAGTGAGATCCTGCCCCATGTTGGGTTGGAGACAACCCCAAATGAACACTAATGATGCAATGACCCCCCAAAACGAATCAGGCACATATTATCAAGTAGCGCAAATAATCCGAAGGGATGCTAGGAAACCACTAGCTGCCTGCAGGCTTGTCAACATACGACGCATGTCCAATTAGTTTTCCTGTCCGACCAGATCCAAGCATACACTTTTTATGTTCCCAGTGCCGTTTACTGGATGCTCACTTCCAATACAACGCATCCAGAGTTCGTGCATCATGGTCACGTGAGTGAGGAGGAATTCGCTGAGGGACGAAGAGCTGCTGCAGGCCGCTTGCGGGCGACACGGCGCAGGTGAGTTTGCTGGAGAAACCACGCGAACTCAAGCCAATGGGAGAAGCACAGCTTTGCACTTTGCAACTCTTCATGTGTATGCATGCATGTATGCATATGCATGCATGTATGGATGTATAAATTTACATGTCGATAACTACCATGTACACAGTATCAATTCGCAAATATAATAGTATACTTCAACCGCAACCTGTGTCTCGGCAAAAAGAAAACCAATTAGCTTTGGAAGCCGGAGCGTTGCCTGCGAGATCGTTTCGGCCCAAAAGGTTGGGACGCCCTTTCGCCGAATCCTCGGCGAAAAGCCCCGGCTAAAAAAGATCCATGTTCACCTGGTTCATGCGGGTGTGCCTTTTGTTGGACCCACAAATGGGTGGCCCGTTGGTTTTCTGTTAAAACCAACCAGACAGGGTACCCACACAAAACATCGCACACTCATATTTAGCGAAGCTGATGCAAAAATCCAGGTGTTTGGTCTCAATGAGGACTGAAACCAACTTGCTTGCCCTCTTCGCCTGGTTTCATGTTGAGTTCCAGGCGAGCGTAAGCCAAAAGACAAAAACAAAAAACACACCGGTTAATTAATTAAAAAAAAAAAAACAAAAAACGCCGGTCCGATGAAGAAGTCGTAGATGCTGGTCCTCTCGGCTCCCTTGGCCTCAGCATTCAGCTGGAGAGGCATATTTTTTCGGGTGCCTCGAAGAAAAAACACGTGCAACCATGAAATGTTGGCAAAATCAGGGCAAAAACACAAAAACACTTACAAACTCTTCGAACTTTCAAGCATGGAGAGGAGCTTGACAGTATGAATTAGCTTTGGCCCAGTTGATGACATGTCACTTAGCATATGCTGGCCAAGAAGGCTTGCTCAACCGATACTGACTTGTATTTCTCAAACGTGTTCTAAAATGACATGTCCCCACCCTATACAGTGATTGATTTGAAATTCAACCTATACCGTGGTTGACTTGCAATTCAACCAGAACTCAAAAGTGCTTCGAATGACAGCTCAAGCTGTCTTTGTGATGACAACCGACGGCGTGCATGTGAGCAACGTAAACGGGACAAGAGGCGCACCCCCTTCCCCTCCCAGGTTATCCAGGTTGAAGCAACGCAGAGCATGTTGCCGCAACCAAGCTGGTAAAACACATACGGTGTTGCCCGCAGCCCCAATGGCATAGGTGCCCAAGCGGCCTCTTGCAGGTCATGTACTTGGTAAATTGGTAAATGAGAAAACATCACCGAGCTGAACAAAAGAAACTTCATCGTGACCAGTCGCAAACCCCGTCTTGTGAGGCAGGCGAAAAGCGGAAGGGGGAAGAGAGAGGGAGGGAGAGAGCGAGAGAGACAGAGACAGAGACAGAGACCGAGACAGAGACAGAGACATAGAGACAGAGACATAGAGACAGAGACAGAGACATAGAGACAGAGAGACAGAGAGACAGAGAGACAGCGAGAAAGAAAGAGAGAGAGAGAGAGAGAGAGAGCGAGAGAGAGAGAGAGCGTGTCAAACACAGAGATGGAGAGACGGAGAGACGGAGAGACGGAGGCAGAGAAAGAGGGTGAGAAAGACAAAGAGACAGAGGAAGGAGGGGAGGAAAAGCAGGGGAGGAGGGGGAAAAATTGGGGAACAGGAGAAGGGGAAAAGGGGAGCAAGGGAGAAGGTGAGAATGGGAGGAAAGAAGGGTCCGAAACAAATGAGAGATGGAGCTAGCATTTGTTCAGAACAATACTGCGATCCAGCGGCGATGACCCTTGTTGAACTGCGTGAACCGATATTCACGGGATCAACAGTGCTTTGGTCCCTTCACCCCGTCGAGGTTCTGGATTGATGCCCCGGTCCCCAGAACCCAGCGCAAGGACGGCGTTTCTGCGTCGCGTCCCGGATTTTCCCGGTCTCCAGTCTCCCCGATTTCGGCGCGGGGCGTAGCACAGGTGGATGATCACCGAGTAAATGTCGCCCAAGATGATGGCGGTCGTCAGGAAGGCCCTCGGGAACGGACCGAATGCGACGCCCTGCAATTGGGTCGCGAGCGACAAACAGGATTTGAGGAAAGCTCCGCTGTCAGGGTTCTTCCCTTTTGTTCACACCCGCGTGGTTCAGCTCCAAAAAGGAGGGGGGGTATGTGCAGTCCAATCAAGCAGCCCGGTATTTTTGAGCTGCCCGCCCACAAACAACACAGAGTTACCTCTGCGACTGCCATCGGCTGTGTGGATCTGTCAAAACCGGTGGCCTGCTCTACTCCCCTCATTTACATGGAACCAAAAAGCCACCAGTTTGAAGAGGACTCTGTTGAGGAAAGGGCAGCTTCAGATTCACAGAAGAGGCTGGCTTGCGTGATTAGGGACCCTTTGGTGGACATGAATGTGAATTTGCAAGGGAGCAAATGGCACTTCGGCTCGACTTTCCTTTCGCTTCCTTTTCATTCCTCCCAGTCTTGGCCTGATTTTGACAGGGGCAGAGTTGGGGAAGCCGCCCAGAGCGCCTCCCAATGCCAAAATGTTATCCGGATATGTGCGTGACAAACTGAAACAAAACTCTCCAACTGGGATTTTTTGGGTTTATACAACTTTGGGGCAGCTAACAAGTGGAACGCTGAAGAGACCACCATGACACGTTCCATGAACTAAACAAAGGGAACGCCTGGGCCGAAGCTGCCAGCCACCAGACAAGAAACTATCTGACAAGCTGCGCTATCCTTTCCATCATGGGGGACTATGTGTAGCGACAAATCCAAGCAGTGGAACATCTGCTCGTGCCGCGGCCTGCATTGGTATCGCCGCATAGGGACATCCCCATCAAATAAGCAAACCTGGTTCACGGCGCACGACACTTGGCAACCTGGAAACAGTTTCTTTGATTCACATACGTATGGAACCTGGTTGAAAAATGCTTGAATGGGCACTAACCTTCACCAACTCTCTTGAAAGCCCCTACCGAAGTGAAACACCTGCCACACAACAAGGTCGAACAATTTCCCTCTTAGTCAAACGAATTCGAGGGCACCCCTTAAAGCACCCTGCCCCAAGCGTCATGTTGCAAAGCATTGTGACTGGGCATTGGCATCCAAGTCCACCTGCCAAAAAAGGTTTACTACCCTCAGAAAATAACGCTCTGGCACATAGCTTTCCTAGGTCCTCCAGTAGAGAGCTTAGAAAAAGGGTATCCTTTTTTCCTGTAGTCTATTTTAGTAGGGGAACCCTCCCCCAAAAAAGAAACGATAAAAGGGCACCAATCGCTGGGGGACCTAGTTTCTCTGGGCGGCGGATACTCCTTCGCCAGCGTGGTGATGTCGAAAAGCCCCAAGTTGTGCAGCAGGAAGGAGCCCCCGAGGGTGGCCCAGAAGCTCGAGTAGCCTGACTGGAGGACGAGTCCGATCTTTTTTGGAAAGATCAGGCGGGAGAGGTGTTATTTTTCTGAGCTGTCCTCAGATCCCCCGCTAAAAGTTTAACTTTTAGTGGGCTAAATGGAAAACCCCACTAAACACTAAAAAGCTACAAAGCTAAGGAGCCACCGAGTTTTGTTTACCTGGCAACATCCCCCGGATGCTGGACCAGCTTGGGCTGAACCTTCGGGTCGGGTATTCTTTGGGGGCGCACTGCGGCCTTACGGACAATTGGGGATCCCATGAAGAGCTAGCAAGACAAATGTAGCAACCGGATTCAAACATCAGAGCAGTCTAAACAATGCGCCCACGTCAAAAAACATATCAGAATAAGGTAAAATATTCTCGCTACGTGCCAAATGTGTGAGCAACGGACGACATTGCTCCTGGTCTCCCCGTTCCTCCATGTTCTCCCCAAAAAGTATGCGATTTCTGTCCAAAGGTCTCCTTCCCGAAACCAACTCCAAGCCAAAAATGTCTGCCCGAAAGAATCCCTGGGCTTCACTACAAGTCGCACATGTCCCGCCCACATTGCGCCACTTGGGTTGGAAAACCTATTTCAATGGCCGTTGAGCTGCACTCCTTCCTCAGAAAACACCCTGAGGAGTCTCCTGAAATCAATTGATATGATATGAACGTCAGATGACATGTGGCATGAAATGGTCTACCTGTCAAATCCTTGACCTGTGAGCGAACAACTTGCTTATTTGTTTGCAGCCATGCACTAAAAATGAACGAACAGAACCAACAACAACTAAAATACTAAAAGCGAGCCAAGGACCGTGAAGATACGCTCATGCACACAGTAGCTGACATAAGGCCCTGCAACGCAACTTAAGCATATGTGCTCGGTTGACAACCAACAACGTGGAAACTTAAAACTAAAATACCCAGGCCGGGCCAATCCCAATTTCTTATGAACCAAACATCCAACCAACCAACTAACCAGCCAACTAATTAAGCCAGCTAGTCTGCTAGTTTGTTATGCCAGTTTGTCACTTAACCCAACCCAACCCAACCCAAGCCAATCAAACGAAACCAAAAACAAAACAAACCAAGCCAAGCCAACCCAAATTAAAACAATCGAAACCAAACCAAATCAGGCCAGCAAACAAACAAACAAACAAACAAACGAACAAACAAAGAAATAGAACAAACAAAAAACAAGCAAGCAAGCAAGCAAGCAAGCAGGCAGGCAGGCAGGCAGGCAAGCAGGCAAGCAGGCAAGCAGGCAAGCAGGCAAGCAGGCAAGCAGGCAAGCAGCCAAGCAGGCAAGCAGGCAAGCAGGCAAGCAGGCAAGCAGGCAAGCAGGCAAGCAGCCAAGCAGGCAAGCAGGCAAGCAGGCAAGCAGGCAAGCAAGCAGGCAAGCAAGCAGTCAAACACAGACACAAAGATGCAACCCCTGAATACTTGAATTGGCGCCCCCCGCTCAAAGCAAACTCACTGTACATCGGCTCAACAGGTGATGCTCAAAACCTCCAAAATGATCACACCAGGGAAGAATGTTGGGGCACGTGTCAAAATAGGAGGACCCTCAAAATGATTCCTTTCCTTCTTGCACATTTCAAAATTTGGAGCCCCGGGTCTCCGAAAAAAGAAAAACAAGCTGAAAACTCATGGAGGCGCCGTTGCAGAGGTACTCCAAGCCGTTGGTCTTCACCTCGACGCCGGGCATAAATTGCGCCAGCAGCACCTGAGACAAGTGGTAGCCTCAGCTCGCTGCAGCATCGAGCTTCGCCTTTGGCTCGATGAAGCTCAATAGGGCCCTCGTGCCCCACGTAAAATTGACACTCCGAGGAAATCCAAGGACTCGGTTGCTTTCTGCTCCCCTGCTAAACGTTTAACTTTTAGTGGTTTAATGGAACACCCATTAGCTGGCAAAAGTCAAAGTCCTAACATCCAAGCAAAATGCACCAAAGAGGAATTGGGCCCAACTTCAATCAGTTTTATGCAAATTGGTTTTAGGAGGACATCCCAATTTCATAGAGGGCTAGAGCAAAGCAGGCAGAAATCAGAGGCGGCCGCAGTTTGGGCTTATTGATCCCCCACTTCCCCGCGTACGTACTCCTCATTTGGGAATTGCCCTTCCAGGGTGCCCGAATCCCTGGCGATGACACCCTCAAAGAAAACCAACCTGTTGACCCCCGCTTGACATGGCCGCATAAATGTTGCGTGTACCGCTGGCCTGCTTCTGCACCCCAAGATTGTGCAGGAGTTCTCTTGGATGAGCACACCACGTGGTCGTGACTTTGGGAAAATCCGTGTCAAACGCGTTGAGACCCAAAGCAAGCCCGAGCAGCAAATATATGGCTGTGGTTGTCAAAACCAATGGTACCATTTTGGGGTAGGTGAATTCACCACCCATTTTAGAACCTGACCAATTTTAGTGGGAATTGGGATGTTCACTGCGGGTACGATTTGGGTTTTGACCCATGGCCATATAGTCCCTGCAGAGCATTCAGGCCAAGGAGCTGAGAAACCAACCCACCGACTTGAGGGTCGGCACCTTAGCTCCAAGGCTGGGGAGCCAACGCTCCTTGTCCCAGTGTTAGTTGATACGGGCGAAACCGGAGGGAAACCCCACCGTTTTGGGGGCTCCCCTTTTCCCAAGGTTGAAACAAACTCAGCTGGGCGGTTTGGGCTCTTGTCCTCACCCTCCAATCATGGAAGCTAGGAGAGGGTCGCGACAAACTAAAGGCAACAGATGGATGTGTGGATCACACAGGGGGGTCAAAACCCCCCTTCTCTCACAGAAACTGCCACTCTCCTGGAAACTGGAAACTGCTGCGCCCCTGGGCCCGCCAGCCGCCAGCCGCCAGCTGTGTCCGGGAAAAGGATCAAAAAGGCAGCTGGATGCAAGCCATATGCGGGGATTTCCAACTGTATCCATGAGATCCATGTATCCCTCTTCATGAGAGATTCTCTCTTGTTGCCCGGCTTTGAAAAAGGGTCCGGCTTTACAATCGATGGGGCGAAGCCCGGGTCTCTGAGCAAAAGTCGATTCATGACTCGCATTTATGAAGCAAGCGTGTAACCAGAATAGAAGTGCTGCTTGGCTCAAAGTCGAGAACCTTGTAAACAAGTATCATTCGGGGGGAAAAAAAAGAAGTGCCCAAACTAGTGAATCCCCTCCCCGGGCTGACCTCTTCCACTGAACAGACTAAGTTTGGGCGAACTGAGGGACCGTCCTAACAGTCCGAACAGATTCAATGATCCGCGAACCGGGGCAAACCCTTTCTCCTGCTTTCGCCCTTGCATTGCTTGAGTGTCCCGCATATTGCCATGGATCGCTGCCGTACCTGAGCAGGCTGATGGCACATGGTTGGCCCCTTGCGCCTCAAACGGCAGGCTGCCTTGTGGTGACAAATCCTGTCCATCTTGAATTCGGTAACCTGGCCAACTTTTTTCAAACAAAGCAAACAAACTATGAAAGAAACCCTGGAAAAACGCAATCAACAAACTGCAGAGATTCGGCCCGAAGCACTAGAATTCGCCCAACTAATTCCCCGCCCTCCCTCAAAGCGCCGGTCTCCCCGATACCAATTTTCCACTCACCCCCAGATTTGGGTGCAGGACCCACCTCATTTGGCAACCCTAGATCCCCTGTCTAGGGGTTCAGAAGGAAAGAACGGCATCGTTCACGTTCCTTCCATTGCAACAATCCCAAGGCTTCGCCATCACCAGCTGCGCTGGCTGCAGGGGTTGCTCACCCAACGTCTCCCACTCAGCACCCACCCGCCCGCCCACCCACCCTAGCTCGAAGACACACAGCGCAGCTGGATTACAGGGCCGTGTGTTTTGTTGAGGATACCGTTGGTTGGCAAACCGTTTGGAACGGGCCCAACAAATCCCTCTTTGGGTAAGTGCGGCCGCGCAGCAAAGAGGCGGCCATGCAAAACCTGAGCTTTGGCCCCGACCCAGTGCCGGGAGCTCCGATTTTGGTTGCTTCGCCAAGGGGAATTACTGTTCGGTCCATGTCGCCATTTGGAACTGGGCGGTGTAAAGCATATGATATATATGTATTTATATATACAGTCTGCTAAGGGCCTCCCTTAAAGGGGGGAAACATGTCCCATCGAGACTTTGACTACCAAAGGTCAACCCCTCAGAATCTTGGAACCCGACAGATCCCCCTGAAACAACTCCAACAGACAAAACCAAGAAGAACACAGGGCCGTCTTCAAATCGCCCAAACCAGCGGACAAAATAGCTGCCATATTCCGACTCTGATTTGAAACGAAGCATAATTCTGGCCCCAGCAAAAAGGTGTTGGACTGCAATCTCAGCAACTGAAGCTAAGCACCGGCTTTCACACTCCCTGGGTGTGCATCAAAATAGGGGGACGGCCAACGACCACAAAAATGCCATGACGAAGCACCATCCCCCAAACACGTATTGAACGCAGAACCCAAATAGACCAGAATTACGTGCGGCAGGGAAGATTTGCAGAGGGCTTTTCTCTTGCGGGACCCATTCTTGATGCTCCGTGTTACCTTTCGGGGGAGTACGATGTACGTACCAAGTCATCCAATGTCACCTGAACGACTTCCAAACGCGAATCCCAAGCTGTTGCATTTGGAGGGTCGATGCAGGTCCTTCGTCGGTTTCACCGTGTGGGTTCATTTCTTCCCAAAAGGGGCCTTCACAACTGGATATGCCGCAGGGTGTTTTTTGATGGTGCCCTTGTTGGGTTGTTCTAAAGGAAAACCTGGTTGAAGGATAACACAGTTTCTCGGGGTCCACCCAAATGTCTGCAACATTCACCGAGACTTGGTGATCTGGATTGCAGCTTACCATTTTCCGCTCGATCTGTCCATAGGTGTCGTGCGTCCTTTTGTTCTTGGTCCTTTTGGCTTTCTGCGGGGATGTGTCCTAAACAAAGAGGACCCTGTGAAGATGGCAGCGTCCTTTGGTTTCCCGTTTAAGAAGCTCGAGGGGGAAGAGGCGCCCGAATGGTTTCCCACCTAACTCAAGGCACAGCTTGTTGAGACACGTATTTCTGCGGCGGGAAGGATTCTCACAGGTGTCCTGGATATTTTTAGGTGGGCGCCAGACAGCCAAGGAGCATCAGAATGTGGGAGGAGACCATGATGAAAAGGTTGCCAACCTTCGCCGATCCGTGTGTGTGTGTGTGTCTGCAAATGTCCCCTTTCAGAGCGACCCCAACATAGAAACGATCAGGAAATGAAGCGTTTCACCACCCTGCGGATGGCAAGGTTGCCTGGCACGCTTTGGACTACGCCTAGGTCCCATCACCTGGGTTCTAGCTCGCCTCGCGTTGCTCTAAGGAACCAGGAAGAATCTGGAAGACAAAGGACACCAAGATTCTAGATCCCCGTTCTTCAAGGGCCCTCTCAGGCAATGGTCAGAACATCCAAGAAACTTCCGTCATTGAGAAGAACAAAAACTTGGGTCCAAAGAATGGGGATCAACCTTTGTGCTGATATGGCGGTCCGGGACGACCGTTGCTCGTTGCTGAGAGTTGCCCTTCTGAGGATGCAAGCTCCCCCAGAGCAAACTGATCACCTCCAATGGAACATCCTTGATCCTCGCCAGTGGGTTTCACCCTTGGAAGAGGAGGACTCGGGAATCCCACTCAACAACTGGAGTGCTTCTCTCAGATGCCCAGTGGCCATGGGCAAAAAAGGGCACCCTTTTTTTGTTGGTTGAGTTTAAATGGGGAACCCCCACCGAAAAGAAAAAAAAGGCACTACTGGGCAACAGAGTTCTCAATCAAGGGTCAAAATGAGCTTCCACAAGATTCTTCGTTTCGATTCAATCGATTAGACTGGCCAGGCTTGCGGGCCTATGACGATGCTGCGCTCTGGGTGCAGCCTTTGAGCCTGCCCTCCCACAAAAGAACAAAAGGTTTCGGAAAGGCGTCTGGGGTCCAAATCCTGTGTGAGTCAAAACACCCATGTGGCTGTGGCAGATCCTGTCCCATCCGACCCACTATTTATCATATTTATTATATTACCGTTGGTTACCGTTGGATCCCCTGTGGTGCCATTTCTGCGTGGAAAGAGGTCTCCACACACCCCACCCTTCGCCATTGGGGCGGCGGCGGGCCCTCCAAACTCCTGTTCCTCTGGCACCTTCCACGAGAGATGGGTCAGGTGGGTATCCTAAAACAAGGGCCGAAGGGACCAATGTGTGTAAAATGCTGGAGAGTATCGTCATTTTTTGCCGGGGTACATATCTGAAGGATGCCCCTGATCACTGCAGGATAGATAACCTTGCTTGGCGGTAGCCCCTCTGTACTTGTCAGGCTGTGGCTTGTGGGCAGTGGGCACCATCTGAAAGGGAAGGGCCTGTTGGACCCGTGCTTCTGCTGGCGAAGATGTCAGCAGAGGCCAAGGGTAAAAATGTAAATTCAGCAAAACTGGTTGGGGACCTAGGGTGTTTCGTTCAAGCAGGGATCCCTGGAAATGGTTGGCAACTTTTTGTTGGCTCCGCTTTGAGCACCATCTCCAAGGAGGTTCCCAATTTGAGGACGCCTTCTGTTCTGCGCATGCTTCAAGGGGGCCAAAACTCCAACGAGAACATTGGACGGTTGCGAACCGGTTTTGACAGCTTTCCGAGTGGTCAACATATATGTACAACCAGTGTGGTCTCCATCACTGTTTGTGTTTCAAATGGATTCCCATAGGTAACCTACACAAGTTATACACAAGCTACCCAAACCTTACCCACACCGTTGCGCACGTGGTTGCACTGCCGCTGGTTTACCACTGCTTCGGTGTCACCATGATTTGCATTCACCTTCTTTGGCGACAGCCCACGGAGCGGTCACCTACACAAAGATCGCTTCACAAACTTGCGTGGAAGTGCAACCCACGCTCTGCGGCCAAGCACAAGCAAAACTGGATCAGAGGGTGGAATCAATCTGTCACCCTCACTCCACTGCTCGTTAGTTAGGCCCCCCCCAAGAATGGATTCCTTTTAAAAAAGCAACAAAAACCGAACTGGATTCTCCGCCCAAGCTTCCGGCGGGGGGGGGGGGGGGCGGGGCGACGGAATGGCGGCTTGCAGGACACCAAAGGGGCACCGTTGCCAAATGGCTGTGGGTCAAAAATATGTATCCACAATGGCTTGCCCTGGTAAGTGCAAACATGGACCAAAACCTGCGGTTTGCCCCTGTTTCATTTTGAGCCACACCCAAATCCCAACTTCCCGCCCCGAAGAAACCCTCGCGGCACCTTCTGGGCCTCGGTTGCCTTCTTCCTGCGCGTGCGTCCCAGTCCCAAAGGTCAGACTCCGGCACTGGAGACGGGTCAAAACGCTTGGCCGTTGAGCCCGGAGAAGGCGAACAAAAGGCAACCGAGGTCCCACCAGATTGGAATAGTCCAAATGGAAGTTTCGCACATAAGCATGAACCCTTGATGCAAGAAAGGGGACCAAGAAGCTTAGTGTACATATGGTTTATAATATAACATGCAAAAATAAGATATAATAGAGTAAAACAGAAATATACGTATAAATGTGAGTTAATGTATTGTAGGACAATATGACAGAATATAACATAATCCAATATACCATAATACAATACAATACAATACAATACAATACAATACAATACAATACAATACAATACAATACAATACAATACAATACAATACAATACAATACAATACAATACAATACAATACAATACAATACAATACAATACAATACAATACACCATAATATATACACGTAGCTGTGGGTTCTCAAAATGGGAGGGCCTCAAACATGGCCAGCTTCCTTCGGGTGTCCAGTACACCGATTAGACGCCAGGGGTTCACCCGCAGGTCCCGGCACATCGATCTATGCCCGCGGGTTGGTTGAGGGGATTTTGGCAATGCCCAGTTTCCTAGGGGGTGATTCCAACCATTCTTTTCAACCATCTTTCTTTTCAAAAAACCGGATCCGTCCCCGGGGTTTTGGGTGGTTTTTAGAAAGAAGGATGCCTGGAAAGAATGGACATGGAAGGTACCTCTAGAAGTTGGGACATTCAAATGCCGCCTCGGTATTTCACAGGACAAAGACGATAAAATTAGAGGTGTGCGAAACTTGGACCAAGTTGATTGGTGTTTAAGGGAATCCACATGGAAGGTAGCCATTCTTAGAGCTCCCCTTTTCGGATACGCCCAACTGCTCGCACACGCTCAAATTGTTTGGATACCGAAGCGAGCCATGGCCACGCGTTGAAACCAGCGGGTTTCAAAACCCCAGGAGTGTCCCGAGCCTCGGCCCAATTTCACACCTTCAACGGAACCTGCAAACCCCTACCCCGCCGAAAAAATCTTCGCCAGGGCCCAAGTCAAGATGTCCTAGTCCTACATGCCCAGCTGATAGCTCCATTTTACCTTTCTCTGACACCTCGGGTTCCACAAGCCGCCCGGAGAAATCCAAGCCCAGGAGTCCCCCTCAGGTCCCGGCCCCTCATCCTTGCCGCTGGAGCGCTCCTGGAGCCGGTTCGGGAACTGGTGGCGAATGAGAAACCCGGATGCATCAACTGGATGAATTTGATTGGGGGTCCCATGTCAGAGCTGACATGGGATCCCCCCAAATCACGTGGGGAACACCCCAAAAGTTCATCCAGGTTTATGAAGGTGGGGTCGACATCACTGGAAACTCGTGGGAAGAAACCCTGGCTAAAATAGTGACCATGTCCATCCTGCTGGGGCAGGCAGAGAAGGGAAGGGGCATGGAGACTCCAGGTCTTAAGGGAAAGAAAAAACAAAAACATGGCAACAGGCATAGTTTCGGAAAACCCCTGGTGCAGAAACAACGTTTTTTGAAGGGACCAAATGACATATTCATTGTGATTCGGCATGTTTGCTCCATGTCATCTCCTGACTACAGGTTCCTCAAATTCCCCATTAAACATCAAATCCATTGTGAACACACACGCACACGCAAATAAATACAGATTGAAGCCTTGACCCGCGTAATTCTTAAAGTTGGTCTGGCTTTCTCGGATCACCTCTTCAGATATTCAGAACGGCTCGACTTCCATGGCCATTCCCGTAAAAGACCCCGGATGAAAATCCAAGGAGACTTGCCACTGATCAAACCGGTCCTTTCCGAAAGCGTTTGGAGTCGCGGCGCGAGATGTTTTTGCCAAACGCGAAAGCCGATACTTAGTGTAACACCCGCCACATCTTGGCAGGTTCTTGGGTTGATGATGCTTCGGTTGACAAGGCAAAGGCTCTTGACTGGCAACCCCCCAAAGGGGGCCACGATTTCTCTGTTTCGCACTGCGGTGCGCATAAACCATCCATGATGCGCAGACTGAGCTGGTTTGACCTCACTGGGTGCTGCATTGGACATCTGAGAGTCAAAGAGTCAACAACAGATCCATCACTCTTGGGCTTTTCTTTGGGAATGTGTATATGTATACATATATGTATACGATATAGTATCATATATATATATATTACATACGGTGTATATATATATATATTATTTGTGTGTGTGATATAGATACATGCACAGCTTCGCACCCAGTTTCCCCCCCCCCCCCCCACCTTGGGCGGAGGAGTGGCAGCACGGCTGCTGCCCTTCTTCTCTTGCGCCATGTCCGGCCAGAGACCTGCCGCACGCCCAAAGGCGACGCGCGGTCTCGACGCGCAAAAAGGCTCGGCTGAGTGGTGAACAATATGTGCTGGCGCCTGTTGGACTCTCACCGATTGTGTTTGGAGCCACTAAAAAGAAGACCTTTGGAAAAGGGAAGCTCCCAGTCGGATTGCCAGCTTGGAGGAAGAAAGCAGCACCACTAGTCAACATCCCGGTATCGCCCAACAATGCGCACTACCTTCGATAAATGATGACAAGGGTTCCCCTCAACTTCGTTCTGCGTTTATCTTCGCAAGCACGAACGGCTCTTTCTCTCAATAAGACATGGGACACTTGACGGTGTTTTTTGGGGCAGTCGCCCACGTCGGCAAGCTAGCGATGGACCATGGGTAGCTAACGTTGGAGAAGCCACAAGGAAACCAATGTGTTGGAGCCGAGTTGAAACCACCTTCTTCGTACTTGCGCGTGACCGGCGTTTGATCGCTCCTTTGAAGTTGACGGAAAGGCTTGAACAAATAGAGTTCACAAGCAGAACCAAGAGACACCCTTGGCACATCCCCAGCGAGCACTTTAGCGCATCGTCTCGCTGTCACACGCCTAGCAAGTGCAACAGGTTGCATTTGCCAGTCGTGTTGGCCCGAAAAATGCGAGCCTTTGCCAGGACAGCCGGCGAAACGCCAGACTTGGGGAAGCACGTTCGCCCCACACTTGCCCAGCAGTGAGAAGTAAACACTCCTGGAGATCAACCAAGGTGCAACAAGCGCCAAACACTGGCTACGATGTACATGGCGTGCATCCTGACTGTGTGGAATGCCATCACCTTCGTACATCCTGCTTAACACTCCAAAGGCCAAACAAGGTCACCCGTTTCGCGTGGATCAGGACTTCTGCTGGATGGACACATTGCACATGAGAGTGGGTCGATGGTGGCATGTATGCGTTCGTTTGTGTGCGTGCAGTACACATGTTTGCATTTTGGTGTGGATGGGCTCAAGGTTGGCTTTTCATGTGTCTGTAAAAGCCTACGAATGCATCGAGAACAGTCCAATACAGTTTGCTCGAGGAGGATCCTTGATGCGACCGCTTGAACAAACTCATCAGGCACGGTGCAAAGACATCACAAAATGTGGCCGCCGTTCCTGGTAGAATCGCAAATGGCCTCCCCTCCGTGCACACCAGAACCAAGAGACACCACCCTTGGTTCATCCCCAGCGAGCACTTTAGCGCATCGTCTCGCTGTCATACCCCCAGCAAGTGCTAGAGCAGCTTGCCTTTGCTGGGCGCGTTGGCCTCAAAGATGAGAGTCTTTGCTAGAACAGCGAGATGCTGAGCAAGGTCTCTGGATGTGCGCCCCACACTCGGCCAACAGTGTGCAGAAGTAACACTTCTGGGTAGGGCCACGCTCTCGCGCAACCACGGTCGCGTCTCGGATCCTTTGCCAGAAGCTTTCTGGAAAACCTGGCGGGCCTTCTGGGCTCAAGGCTTTGCTGGTTCGTGGGAATGAAGTGAATCAGCCCTGTGAACCATCCCCTGTGGGTTCCCAGTGATCGCAAGTTCATGTCCTTGAAACGCTTGAAATTCCCCAACGGGGGTGCGTGTGGATGCCCAAAGGGTGGGTCTTGAAAGGAAACCATGGTACAGGTGACGGTGCGGGCACAGTTTTGTTAAGATTGACCGGGTGCTTTTGGGCATGCAGTTTGGGGTGCTGGTGCAGGTGCTGTTTTGAGAGTGCTGGTGACAGTGCGGGCGCATTTTTACAAGATTGACGGCAGGGTGCAGGGGGGGTGCTGTTTGGGGGTGCTGTTTGGTGCAGTTTGGGGTGCTGGTGCAGGTGCTGTTTGGGGCGTGGCGTTTTTGCAAGATTGATGGCAGGGTGCTTCGGGGCATGCAGCTTTGGGTGCTGTTGGAGGAGTGCAGGCGTCCAGGGGTGCTGTTCGAGGAGCTGGTGTGCAATGCTCCGCCTATTTTTTGCTATCTGGGGTCTACGCTGGTGTACCTGTTTTGAAGTAATTTTGCACAGAGCGCACCCATATGGCCAGGCTAAACCACCAAGAGCGGAACCCAGCCCAGAGAAGCAAGTTGCAGTCACAGGGGGGTGGGAATCAACTCAAATTGCACAACAACCTGCCGCATCACACCCGCATCAATTGTCAGTCCCGTCGTCAAAATCTGCCGGGCAAAGGGGTTGCGCTTTTTGCCAGCAAAACTGCAAGCGGCTCCTTCACTGTCAGGGCACTTACACCGTATTTGAGGATGGTATTTCAAGAACAAATCGGGGTCCCCCCTTGAATCGAGGGACCCTGACCAAAACATGGTCAACCTTTCGGGGGCCAGGGGGCCATGACCGAAAATGGGCCAGACATGGGCCAGACCCCCGAGTGGCGAATTCCCCAAAGCGAGCGCGCGAGCGCCTGCACTCGCTCGCCGGCCGTGGCTCGTCCAACCGGCGGTTTGGGCCGGGCCGCATGAGAGACATCCGAAAAAAACCGGGGGGGTCGCCTATAGACACACCCAAAAAGAAGAAAAAAAAACACGTGATTCACACGCTAAAAAGCCGAGGAATCGCCAACGTGGAAAAAAAGAAGAAGAAAAATAACGTTTCTGGGAGGGCCCAATCCCTTCATCTGAAAAGAGAATGGTTACTGCTAGGATATGCCCAGGGTAGCTTCCAGGAGGAAGCAAATCCAGACCAAACACCTCAATGGCTAAGAGCCTGAGCCAACACTGGAGAATCCCAGGACTTTTTGCAAGGGTTTGCAGGTAAGCTTCCGCATTGGATCAACTCATTGCCCCCCCCCTGCTTTTGTTTGATTGTGATTTGGCCATGGGTCAAAAGTTCGTACCCCCAGTGAACATCCCAATCCCCACTAAAATAGACTAAAATGGGTGGTGCACCTACCCCAAAATGGTACCATTGGTCTTGACCCACAGCCATTTGCGGCAGTTTTCACACGTCTGGCCTTCGGATTAGGCGTTGGTCCAAAATTCGGGGGGGTCGTTGTAGTTTTGTCAAGGGTGCAAAAGATGGCTAACACTGGCGCAAACGCCAACATTCCCAAAACAACCATACCCTACCCTGGCAGGCCATCGTCCCAAGAAAAAAATGGTCAAGCTCCGTGGTCACATGCTGATGCCCCAGTACTCAGCCCGGTGGCCTTCGGGGAAAAAGGGGCACCTCCTCCAAACGGACAAAGGGGCATTGGGTGTCTGGGAAGTAGTCCTGTGGACCAGCCCTAAATGCCTTCTCTCAAACAGCCCAACCAAATGTGCGATGAAAACACGACTATGGCCCATATCCTCTCAGAGGAACCCTGGTAAAGTTCCCAGGGGTTGATGAATCGACCATCCTTAAAGACCCAACCCCCAGTGATAAAAGCGAAAATTGGAAAAGAGTTAATTATTAGCGGTTCAAACCCCAATTCAAACCAACGAATTACCCAACTAATTATTTCGAGGGGGAAAAAACAAAGAAGAAAACAAAAAGTGCGGCTGAATATTTAAGAGCCAGGCGACAGGGTTGAGTCGACTTTTCCACTTACCTGGGTTCCATTTGGCGCCTGTTGTTGAGCCACACTCACGTAAAGCTTTGGTTTTAACCCAAGGCCAACCCTCCGCGCAAGCGGCCGCCCCCGCCATCCCAACCCCCAAACCCCCCCCCCCCCCGCTTCAAGAGCTCGTCGATGCGGGGGTCCACGAGGTCCACGTGCGGGGTCCTGGCCCGCGGAAATCCCGGTGACCGGAAACCCGGTCTTACTTGCCTACTTAATTACCTGGAAATAAAAGTTGATCTTCTGGAACCTTGACAACCCATTGAAACCAAATGGTCACAAGGTCGGCTTTGGGCTTAGGTGAGTAGTAGGTAACCTTGGACCCCGCCCCAAAACACTAACAGTCGCAACTTCGAAGACCGTTTTGGTGCTTGATCCCCATTTTCAGGGCGGTGCCTCCGTTTTGTCGTTTTGTTTTGAAGGTTCCCTTGGTTGCCTTACATGCTTGGATTCATGCCCACCAACCATGCTGGAGCGTGTTCGCCAACCAGTTTGGACATTGCCCATCAAAAGTCATGGACAAATGCTGGGTGTCCCCATTGCTGCCTGGATGTTTTGGTTGAAACACTGGCTCTGAATGCATCCATCTGCGATGTGCAAATCAACCCTCTCAGGTTGCCGACCTCGTGACGAGCCGACAGTCTGGCAAACGAGTGCGGTACACCCGTTTTCGCTCCTTGTTTCGGCTCCATGAGCCAACTGACCAAGAGCCTCCAATTGTGAGAAGAACACCTTTGAAAATCTGAATCATCCTTCAACCACCAAATCAGGATAATCTATACCTAGAAAACCCTCAGTGGAAAATGTCCGCTTTTTCTCCGTAACTACAAAAAAATAGTCGTTTCCGTCAAACAAGGCCTTTTCCTTCAAAAAGCGCCTTTGTGACACCTGCCTAGAACAGGGTTCGGCAACAACGCCTTTGTATCGCAAAAAAACGCTTTGTATCGGGGAAAAACGCCTCTGAAAAAGCAGTTTCCCACGAAAAGGCAGAAGAAGAAAAAACAGACTTAGGAAGATTATTTTGCCAAGCAACATTCCCCCCCGACCCCCATGATTCCAGTCACGGTACGAAACCAGGGAAGCCAGTCAGAGTACAAAACCAGGGAAGCCACAAAAAAGAGCGTGCCAAGCGAAGTTTGCATCTGGACTCAGCCTCAATTCTGAGCTACAAACCAGCAATCCCTCGAGTAAGCAGACTCTCCTTCCCGGGCCCAGGGCCGAGCCCGCTTTACTCGGTGATCTGGGTGTGGCTCAAAATTAAACAGCAGGAGTTACGCAGGTTTTGGTCCATGTTTCCACTTACCAGGGTTCCATCTTGGTACCGGTTTTTTGAGCCACTGCCATCTCGCAACTTGTGACTTTCAGGGCACCCCGCTGAAAACTCCGACACCGGCCGTAACGACCCGGTAGAGCGCTTCCCCGCCTCTTTGCCTCTGGCTCCTCGGGCGGAGGCTCCTGGTCGGATAGACGAATGGCGAAAACCCGCTCGCTGGAAAAGTGGTGTCAAACCACTTTGGCCGGTAGTTCAACCAGAAGAGTTTGGCAATTAAATGAGTCCAAACAGATGGGTTCAAATGAATAATGATTATGCTTGTATTATCTTGTGATGCAATCTGGAACTGGTCTCTAGAACCCATTGTCGGGCCCCTGATTTATCAAGCCAAAAGGAACCCAACCTTGTTGATAGGAGCAGTAGTCCGACTGGTTGCTGGTTCTCAGCAGCGATTTAGAAAACACCCACCAATCAAACCCGTGGTTGTCCGCAGTGGTTGCTTGGCCGTTTGGTTGCTTGCTTGCTTGGGTGGTGGGTGGGTGGTCGGCGGGTTGGCCGGTTGATCGTTGGGTCAGTGGGTCGGTGGGCGGTGAGTCGGTGAGTCGCTTGGTGGTTCTTGGGGTGGCTGTTATATCTCCAGGGAGCACCTCAGAGCTGGCAGGTGCTGGCCAAAAAATTGAAAGCCCGCCTTTTGCTCTGACTGGACTGAGGGATCCATTTGGGTTGACTCAACAGGCCCACAGAGCCATTTATTTCCTTTCGTTGCCCTTTGCCAGCCATCCGACAACCATACCCAGCCACAAGACTTTTACGGGGCTTCCAATTGTCACTCTGGCCTGCCAGTGGAATGGAAGCACGTCCAACCAGAACATCCCTTTCCTGCCGTGGTTTCTGGGATCTTCAGGGTTCGGCACTGACTTGCGGCAAGCAGTCAGCTCCTCCACGGTCTTCCCCATCTTCATCATGACCTTTCAAGATGCGAGACACAAATTGCCCACTGGCAAGTCAGGACACCCCAAAGGAAATTAGATGATGCGCGTCGATTGCTTGGACAGAGCCTTCACCGTTGGTTGGGTCACACACCAACACCTCCATGTGTAACAATTGGTCCAGAGCCCTATGCTATGCCACGTGAACATTGTGGCCTCAAACCCATAAGTAAAAAAAAAAAAAAAAAAAAAAAAAAAACGGTAGCTCCTTAAACCAAAACTCCTGCGCAAATCCATGCGCGGGAGTTCATCCATTGCCTTGCTGACTTGGCTGCTTCCATCTCAGCCGCCGCTTCACGGGTCCCAAGCGAAATTGATCAAGCCGTTGCCCAGATGGCTGGGAGGCCCTCAGTCGAACAAATGAAAGCTTCCAATGTGGCCATGGGTCAAAAGCCAAAGCTCGTACCCCCAGTGAACATGCCAATCCAACCACTAAAATAGGTCCTAAAATGGGTGGTAAATTCACCTACCCCAAAATGGTACCATTGGTTTTGACCCACAGCCATGTGTGTGTGTGTGTGTCAAGTAGCATGCTGACTCCGGAAGTTGAACACCAGGATTCATAGTGGGGTGACTGTGAAGGCTTTTCTATGAAAGAAGCTTCTTGCTCAGCGCAAACAGTCCCCGATCCAAGGCCAATCCGGCTTGTGCCCAGCGACAATACAAGCCACGAGGTGTTCTTCTTCCCCACGAGGATCGCTTAACAGCCACGCCCCACGCAAAGGCGTGGCCAGTTCTCACTTTGGAGGACTCGAGGGATGCGGTTGCGACTCAAACCCCCGATCCTCGAGACTCAAAAAACAAACGAATCCCGAATCCGGCCTGTCGTTTGATCTCCGTCATGCCCTGGCCGGCCAAGAGTCGGGGAACGCAAGCATCTGAATTTACTGAATTTCAAGTACCCAGACCAAGCTGCAGTTTAATGGAAGATGGGCATGCCCAATTCAATTAAATCCGAGTCGTTTGAAGCCAGGGGCATCGCTGCCTGGAACTCAATGGCTCCATTTCTTTGCAAGCCACAGATCTGCCTTGGAGCCCGAGTATTGTCTCAGATGCCCAGTGGCCAGAGGAAAAAAACACATCTTTTTTTTGGTTGGTTGAGTTCAAAGGGAACCCTTTCCAATAAACAGGAAAAAGGGCACCACTGCGCAACTGGGTTATGGCATCCTCAAGGGTGCCTCTGCCTGGAGTACCTGCACCAGGAACCTGGCCAGCGGTCTGCGGTAAAAAAGGCCCGCGGGCCTGGCCGTAGGTCACCCCACGGACGCAGAACTTCCGGAAGTCCATGACGTTGCAGGTGAGCGTGCCCGTCTTGTCCTCAGCAAAACTTAGGGAAAACACCCACCTCTTCCAACCACAGCCCAGCCCTGGAAGTTTACGGAAGAAGCATAATGATCAGGTAGGAAAGGGCACCTAGCTGGGGGACCTAGCCGATTCTGGAGTTCTCTTCCACTCAGTACAAGGCCGTGCACAATTGACCAGTGAGGGCGATTCAAACCTAGGCTCGAGACTGTCTCGAAAAATTGCTGGCTCCGACTTCCCTCCCTTCACAGCACAAATGGAGTGGTCTGCTTGAAAAGCACTCGCCATAGAACAAAGCAGAACCTGATCAATTGCAACTGTCCACTGAAGGGTCGACTAAAATGGCCAGCCGCACCTGGCACAATGTCACGTGACGGTTGAGTCAAGTTTTCCCTACAGTAGAATGGCCTTACACCAAAGAAGCCAAAGCAACGCAACGAGAAAACCAGCCGCTCTCGGCTTTTGCCAGGGCACAGAGAAGACGTACTCCACCTGGCCCAGCTCCTCGTTCAAGTCGCTGGTCCGGGGCATGCAGTGGATGCCCTGGCCATCCATGGCGGAAAGCAGGAGTGGGATGAACCGCGGTCAAAATGACCTGTTTCCTCCAAATGACCTGTGCAACATTTTGTGAGTTGCCCCGTGTCCACCATCGACCAGTAGCTCTTGACAGAACCTCATGTTTAGTACCCCTGCTCAGGAATCTTTCTGGTTGGGCCACGTCTCAAAGGGAGCCTTGAAGCACAACCGAAAGGGGCTTAGGTGCTTCCATCGAACCACCATATGATCTGTGCATGAAACAGTCACGTTGGCCGACAATTTCCGCAGAACATACCCAAGCGCACGAATTGTGGATCAAGACTGCGGGGGCCAAAGGAACCCGGTTCCGGAGGTCCTGGGGCCAAAGGCAATGTCTGTTAAGCTCATGCTTAGCTCATCTCTGTACAAGGGAATGCTGACATCCACTGAACTGGGGCCCGGATGAGTGGCGCCGGTGGCGCTGTGCGCTGTGCTGTTTATGGCTAGGATCACAAGGCCCGTTCCAACCAGCAAAATGTGAGTCTGACACTGGTCGTGTCAGGAGCTTGCTCGATCAGGATCATCGCTTCTGTGTGGCTAGGCATTCGACAAAAATCACACGGCCCCCGAATAGAAACTGCTGGAGGAAGTCCTGGACATTGTAGGGGACCCCATTTGAGCTTCCGGCTAGTCTTCAGTTGCGGCAGGTTGAGACATGAAGGGTGGCTTGCCTCGGTCAGTCTAGACCAAAAAACCTCAAACAAGATGTTGAAAATAAAACTCTGCAAACAAATCCTCAATGACTTCATTTGCCGTGGACAAAACTATCAAACTTGTTGTTTTACAAGCACTTCAAACCCTATTGTTGCTATAAGGCCACTGCTTGGATCACTCACCGACCTGTCGGCGGCGAACAAAGTCGTTCACGCGCATTGAGAGAAAACGTTCGGCCCCTTACAAACCTGGCAACTGTGTCGCTGCAAAAATCAGGGACAACTTGCCAACATGTCCAATTTCAGCAAAGAAACGCCAACAAATATACCGAAATGCGGGACAAGCGCTTCGCTTTGGCATTGGGAGGCGCAAGAGCCGCCTGATAGATCATGTCATTGTCGGCGTAGAAGAAGAAGATCTGCGCTAGCTTGGCAAAGCTCATGGATACCTGGCGCTTGCATGACATTCATCCGGACCGGACTCAGGGGTGGTTCAGATTCCCCTTGTAGGAAGGACACTATCTATTTTAGGGGAGTTTGCCTCCCATCGCCTCCCCTCGGTTCCCTCTGCTCCGTTCAATCGTGTCTCTGTACAGATGCAACAAATCATACCAATGATATCCATACGACCGCAGCACATGATCACCAAAGCACTTCCGTAGAAACTGCAGCAAACATGGACAACTAAGCTATTCGAGTTCTTGACTTTAACAAGTGAATGCTGGAACATGTTTGGCTTCTTGACAGAAGTTCTGCCGGGCACACCCCAAACTGAGCCGAAAAAAAGCACAGGCCACACCAGACACTACATCCCAACACAGGGCGCGATCAGCGAGATGGGGATAAAGTTGGAGAAAAGGAGCACAAAGTTGAAGAAACCTCAGTGTCCAGGTGCCAAGCGAAGCAGGACGCCTTGGTCAGATGCAGAAAAGGCGTCCATAGACATGTGTAGTGCTGATTGGCTGTTTGTGGATGCAATCTGCAACTGCAAGTGTCTCATCCGGGCATTGAGTGCGTAGTCTCTGCCTCTCCGAGATCGTTAAGAAGCGTTTTTGGGATGCCGATACGGCTCTTGCAGTTGGAAAGGGGCGCGTTTCCGGCACATCGAGCCAAATCGGTTTGCTAGGGTTACTGGCGGTGACTCGGCCGCACCTGGGAACAAGCACCAAATCTGTCCATTGGGCTTGTCGTTCTTACAGCGCAAAAACATAGAGGATGCGGCGCATATGCCATGGCCACTCACTTCAAGTCTGTTCAAAAAGTGTCCTATGCACAGCCATCCATCAGCTTCACTGTCTTGCAGCAACAAGGCGGCGCTTGTCGCTGTCGGAAAATATTGTGGGCTTCCCAGGTTCATTCAACACCCTCTTCTGTTTACTGTGAGGAAACGTTGCAGTCATACGCACTTCGATGAACCCATCGACTATGTTGGAGAGGATTGCGCAACTGTTGGCCTGGAAAAGCGTGCAGCTGCGAAGGCGTTTCCCCGCACATTCTGAGAGCACGGTTTGAACAGAGTTGACGCACAACCAATCTCATAAGTGCCAAAACCAATCTCATCAGTTCCAGAACCAGCAGAATTGCCGAAATGCGCCGCTAGCCTAGCTGGTCGTTACCCTCTTCCTATGAAGTCTGATACGAGGTCCCTGGAAAACAATGTCTCCTGTGGGATCAATCTTCTGGTGGGTTCCACATCCTCCAACCCAGCCGAAGCCCGAACCAGCAACCGCCATGATTGCAGCGGGGAAGCGAATCACCAGCACCTGAGGTGGCACACAAGATGTGTCAAGATGCCTCTCCCAGCTATGGCATGGAAAACACCTCTTACACGGCAAGAATACGTTGATTGGGGATTTACCCATGTCGCAATGGGTCGAAACAACTTGTGGGCCCCAAGTTGTTGGGCCCATCTTGGGACCCCGACATGAACCACAACCATCTGGAGGGGCCCTTGGCTTTGACGCCAGCTCGCTGATCTGCTGGCGCTCGGAATGCCCAGGCGCAAGAAAGGCGTTCCTTGCGTTGCCATTGGCATCTGTCAGATTCAGATACTTCTTCTTCAGGTTCTCCTGAGGCTATCTGAGCGTCCCTTTGCTTCTGCTTCAAAGAAAGGGGTTCCCTTAAAAAAGGACACAGCTACATACAGTAGCTCATCAGTTCAGACCAAAACGAAGGTCGGCCTATGAAGGGCCAAAGCCCTCCAAAACGTGTAGCATTCAAACAAATGACCCACTCTTTTGGACGTAGGTCGACTCCACTCGCCCCAGAATGGTTCACTTGTCCACAGGACAGTCTCTTTCCGGCGTGATTTTGCTTCCTTGTCCCATCTGGCACATGAGTACTTTATTTGAAAAGCCTTTTCCTGCAAGTTCACCTCCCTCCTGCAAGTCGCTTTTGCAACATGGGTTGTTCAAACAAAGGGGAGACCACGGACTTCGGGTGCTTTCGTTTGGTGTCCCCCTGTCGGCTTCCCTCTTAACCGCCATCCAAACAGGTATTCCCAGTGTCCCGGTGTCCCACACGTAGATTCATTCGCTCCTCAGAAGTCTCGAAAATCGCGCTAGCGATGGCCGCGATGAGGCAAAGGACGATCCTCACCCGACGAGGTTTTGTGGCTTGAAATGCCCCCTCTTGGTTCGCTTATGAGAAACCGCTTGGCGGCAATAATTTTTTTTGGGCGGAATCATGCTGGTTGGTGTCAGCATGTAGGGAAAACTACTTTGTTTTGGAAGACTTCCAGTTTGGAGACCAATCCAGCAGAGCGACCCAAATGGAATGGAACCGCCTGGAAAAAGGCGGTCTTCTGCAGGCTCTGGCTCACGTGTCGGTTCAGGTGTTGGTTAAGCTTATTGTTTGGCGTTCTTTGGGTTTCGCCACGCTGTCTGCCCTTTGTAGACGATCCAAACAGGGCTAAGCCTCTGGACGGCTTCAAAACCGGCTTGCAGACATACATGTGGGTTCGACTCAGATTGAAATGGCGGACCTCAATGTGATTTCCTTGAAGCAACCCTCGACAAACTACCCTCCATGCGCAGACACCCACGCGCACACAAACACACAGGTACCGGGGCCCTTCAGTAAGCCCACATGGAGGAATTCCCCACGGGTTGGAACGGAAAACCCGAGGAACCCAGGGACGTGCAGCAAAGGACGGAAAGCAAAGGAGGCTGGAAGAACCCGCAACAAAAGCAATTGGAATCCATGAAATGCTTGGAGGCGCGCCTCAGCTCAACTGCACAAATGGCCTACACATCATGAGCCATCGCCTGCCGCCTGCCGCCTGCCGCCTGTGAAATGCGCATCCGAGGAGCTGAATGGAGAACACAAGGAGCGTGAGCCTCGGGCGAGGTGCGATCGGAATAAGCGATGCTCCCGGCAAACAAACTTCTTGTCGCTTGCCAACAAGTACTGCACTGGGCGAACAAAAAATTGAAAATGCAAAGACTGCGTGTTGAATGGGAGGTCTGCACAAGAAATCCCCTACAAACAAGATTTGATCAAGATCGGCTTTGCACTCCGGCGGCTTGGCATGGCTAATGCCGGAAAACTATTACAAGCAGGGCTGTGTTGTCTGTGCGCAAGCTGAATTCAGGTTTCCCTACGCTTCGGAAAAAATCATGGCTCCAATTCTACCTTCTACAATTCACAGAGAGAGACGGCCCTCAGCCGCAGGCCGGCCCACGTCGTGCTCCAGGTGGGAGATTTTCCGACCCTGGCGGTTCTTGCTTCCCCGGATGGACTTGCCGGAGGATCTTTCAAGCATCAACAAGAGGAAGACTCGGCTTTGCTTTCCTCGAGCCCGCTGACCAGGCAAAGATTTGCTTTGCTGACAGGGTTCAGTAGCGCTACTGAGTGCCCTGTTCCAGAGTCCTGCTCCCCTTGCATGCGTGAAGTCTACCAGTGCTTTAAGAGTCGCAAAGTGTGGACAGTGTCTCCGCGCCCTTTCCTAGGGAGGCCTTCCTGGAAAGTACTGTGTTGCATGCACTGGAGCACCAGTACGGCCACACAGCTCCCACCATGGACCACAACTTCGAGGTTCAGAGCGGCTGATCTCGCGAATCAAGAGCAGCGAGGCGAACACCGCTGGTCGAGTGCAAGAGAGGACTCGAGGGATTTGACTCAGGCAACTGAGCAGGGACTTTCACAAACTGAAGGAGGTTGTGAATTCGCCAAGTCAGTGTACAAGATGCGTAGCTGCAAATCTGCATGCCTGCAAGACAACCAACATCAGCAACCTTTACTTTGTCACCCAACCAAGTGTTGCATGCGGGACGTGCCACAAGTGCCACCTCTTGACATGAGTCATCCAAACCCATGTCCCCCTTTTTCGCCCGTCCTTCTGCTTCTTGCTATTCATCATGATCTTGGTCTCCTTGCCGCTGTAGACGACCACCCCCAAGCACCAGGTGATGTTCTTGATCTTGCCTTAGCCCCAAGCTTCGGGGGGAGTCCGCGGAACAAAACCCGAGTCCGTGAAAGCGATGCTTACACGCCCATCTTGAATGTTTGAAGGGACCGCGCCCCTAGAGGTGGAGCAGACGCACCCGACTGGAGTTGGGAACCACTCCCATCATGCGGAATCGGAGCAAGTCCAACGCAAACACTTGGATCACACTCGAAATGCTATGGATGCTGGTTGTGGGCCTGTGAGCCTTTCGGGATATATCCAAACTCTGACCAGGGAAACACATCCCAAGTTTGCTCGCGGATCAGCATCCCATCTGAAGTCGGGGCGTCACATTCAAAAAGTGACGAACCCCGCTTGGTCGGTGTTGAAAGCAAACCAAAAGAATCCCTCTGTGCAGAGGAAATAATTGCCATTTTCAGCGCTCCCACCACTTGTTCTACCAATTCTATAGGAGCACAACAAAGCGTTCCTTGCTTGGATCGAGACGCAAAACAAGGCAGTGCACCCCGAGCAATCTGGCCATGGGTCAAAATCCAAATCGTACCCCCAATGAACCTCCTCCCCACTAAAATAGACTAAAATGGGTGGTGAATTAAAATGGGATCCCAAAACGGTTTTGACAATCACAGCCATCTGGACTCAGAATCCTTCAGGGCCAAGCCGAGCGGCAGCCGCGGAGCACCATGTGCTGCTCGTCCACGGAGATCTGCTGATCTGGCGGCAAAATCTTTTGGCGGCGAACGGCTGGGCCACACGAGTTATGAGCCATGGGCATAGGTGTCCTTTTAGGGGAAATAGATGGATTTCCCTTGTAGATGATTAAACCACCAGGCAAACCAGAGCAAAACAACCAAAAAAGACACCTGTGTACATGGGTGTCGGGGTTTGTACCTTGTTCGGAGTTGGTTTAAAGGGAAGCCATAAAGGGAAAACCAATTTGGGTTCCCCCATACTTTGACACATGCACACGCGGACGTGGCTGAAAATGTTGCACTCTCGTCAAAAGGGGTTCATCACTGGTCAGGTTGCTGCTTCCCCTTCATGGCTTTGCAAGGCTTCTCTTGTTTTAGAAGAGGAAACATGGCACACACATCTTTAAGTCTCACTCGAAAACTGACCCGGAAGGGGTTGTCACAATTGTCTAGAAGGGAAATGTAGGGACTCGCAAGTATCCGCAAGGACTTCCGGCCAGCTACGAGGCTCACTCCCTTTCAGCCCCATCCATCGCGACGGACGCCGCCAGCTCTTGCTCAAAAGAAATGCCGGGGAAAGCAAATGGGTGGGGGTTGCCCCACTTTAACTCAGGGTCCTCTCCCCACTCATCTCAAGATTCTACATCTTTCTTTGGGGGTCCCATGAAGTCATTGCCACGGGCCTGGTGAGCTCACCTTGATGTTGCCGGCCTCGGTCGCACGCGAAAACGGAGATTCGGAATATGACCGCATCCCAATGAAAACTCACAAGAGATGGGAAGACTTTAGGGGAAATCCCCATCTCCACTTTCTTGAACTTGGCTCATTTTTCAACTGAGCAAAAGTGTTGTGGCAACTGCCACACAGAGGACCAATATCTGCGAGTCACAGGTTGTCTATATTGCAAACACAGCAGGTCTACTCCCGAACCTCACGCTGCACACAAGCGTCACCTCATTCGGATAGCCGCGCGCAACCTCTTTAAAGAAAAAAAACAGCTTACGTCTTGTGCATGTGAAAGGGTTGATCTTCTGGACCACTCCTATGAGCCCATGGCCATTCTGGGCCCCCGTCTGGTTTCACACAACTAGTTGTCAACTCAACCATAAGCTAGGGGATACCAAGGCTTCATGCCATGGGATTTGACGATGGATCCTCATGGTGGACATGACTCACCATGTAAATCCCCCTCATTCAAAGTCATACCCATGGATACGTCGAGCTGTTGACGAACTCCCTGCAACATGAAAGACTGCAGCTGACTTCTGAAAGCGGCAAAACAACCTCCATGAGGCTGTGGGTGTTGCCCTTTAAGCATCACCCCCAAAGGAAACGGATTTTTAAAGGTGACATGCAAGGTCCTCTGATTGAGGAATTTGGTCCACACTCTGTTTGTTTTGCAAATCGGTAGGAACTTGTGCTGCACCTTGGATGGCTAGCATGGAAGATAACCCAAACACGCACTGATCGTCTACCCTCCCCCAGAACGTGGAAGCTCCCACCCCGTTGGAAGACTTGGTTCCACAGAGGCCTGGGAGCTTCCATGTTAGTCTGGGGGGAGTGTAATCCAATGCCCTTGGCTGTGGGTTGGTAATTACCACAGCGCCAAACCGCGACAGGGCCTCAAACATCAGGTTTCCAGCGGGTAAGATGCTGCTTAGGCCAAGTGGCGAAAGTGTAGAGGAACTCGTTGGGGAGCTCGCATTCCTGAGCTTCCCGAAGCCATCCGCAAAAATGAGTCCGCCCGTGCTCAACCAAGTCACTGGACACTCAAACTTGACAAATGGACAACCAAACGAGGCTGATTGCCATTTTTGTTGGCCAAGGGAGCTGAAAAATCAGCCCTGTATCTACCCGCCTATCCCCAGAGCCGTATCACAAGGGCACAAACGTTTGGGCGTCGAGATCCGGCACGCATGCCCTGAAGCTCCCGGGGCATCCCTCACAGCATACCAGCGCACAGCAACACATCACAACACAAACCACCAAGAATCTCATCGAGGTTTGCCCGCATTGAATCTCGGCCTTTTAAACATGTAGTCGTGCTTGGATGAGGAACTTCCGTCCGGAAAAATCAAAGGCGGCTCGATTTGTTTGTCTTAGTGCGGGGAGGGATTAGAAGAGGGATTCCGAGCACCTGGTTCGGGATCCAGCTGGCCTCTTGTGCGGTCAGTCGACCCTTCCCAAAGGTGGGAGCTCCGGGGCATTTTTGGTACCTCAACATGCCCAGGCGCGCAGGTCATGTCCAACATGGACGCAGCCTGCGTGGCTTGCTCCATGGTGTCCTGACCATCAAGGCGTCGTCTCAATTTCCATCCGGGTCTTTTAGGCCGAGAAGTCCCTTCAATCTCAAGAAACAAACGCGCAAGGAAACAAGGCCCACTTCTTATTGGGAGCGCAACCGCGGGTCCGGCCCTGGTCTTGCTTGGGAAAACAAAGGGATATCCTTGAGGGATGTCTATGTTTTTAAAGGGGTATTTGTTGTGTAACCAAAAAAGGTCCAAAAACAGGTGGTCTAAAACAAACCCGGCAAGCGCTGGCATGTGCTTCATGCAAGCTTCGAGTCGTTCATGGCTTAGAAACCCCCTGCGGTTCCAAACCCAAAGGAGGCCAACCGAATGGGCACACCCCGACGCTATGTTACCAAAGCCCTTCCTGGAAAACCCCATCTGTTTTGGCACGCTCTCGACCTCGATGTGCAAGAGTCTGAACATAGGACGACCTTTTGGCTTGCACTGTGGCTCCCTAAACTGCGAGCTTCCCCAAGAAACATGGAAGTGCAGAATTTCGCGAGCCGACTTTCCTGGCTCCTGCGGGAGCCAAGTCAAAAAAAGAGTTGGGGGGGACCCCTTTTCGAATGGTGCTTTAACAGGAAACCAAGAGAACGCGTGAGGGGGAGGACCCCTTTTCGAATGGTGCTTTAACAGGAAACCAAGAGAACGCATCTAACCACCATTGGCATATGGTGCTTGAACAGGAAACCAAGAGAACGCGTCCAACCACCATTGGCATCGTCTTGAGGAGGAAAACCAGGACAACCCAAAGAAGGCTCCAGGAAGCCCAACTTCCAACTCGCGACCTTGGACTTTTCAAAGCCCTTGCCCGGGTCATGCTGGCCGACCAGCTTGAAGAGAGTTGTAGGCGCCTGCCGAGTCGATCCAGAGAGCCGGTTGGGCCTGCTTCGCTCAGCCAGAGGAAAAAGGACGCTGCCTTTCTTGGTTGGTTGGATTGAGGGACACATACACGAGATATTGTAGTTTCTGTGGCTCTAGTCCTTTTGGCTGGTTGATGTGCAAGAGAAACCACGTTGAAACGCTTAGGGACCCTGTTCATCTGAGGGGACCAAAAAGGAAACAACATCAAACTGATCGGCAAAATGCGGGTCTGAATGTTCATTGGTGAGCATCATTTGCATAGGGTTCTGTGTCCACCAACCATTCTTGGCGTTCTTCCCTATCAAAATTCGCAGCCATTTTGGCGACGCAACGCGCAGCAAACCGGGGAGCCCTTTTTGTGCACTAAGCCTCAAGTGTCGGAAATGGCTGTTGAGAGTAAAACAAATCTGCTTGCTCAGCGGTGTCCCGCAAAGAACAAGGGTCCCCTGGCTGTGGCCAAATGGAAGCCCATCGAGGAGAACCAGTGAGTCCCGAAAATTCAGCCAACTCTCGAACGATCCGTGTGGAAACTGGGCGGGTGGCACAGACAACGTGATGCAGTGATCCCTGGGCCCCACGAAACACAGCGCGGAATCTGCGGAAGAAAAGATCGGATCTCGCCACGTCACTCTCCGCGAAAAGGGCTCTCAAGATTCTTAGCCAGAAGAACAGTCCCAGAATCCTCTACCTTTCCGCCTGCCAATGGAAAAACACAACGCTGATTTCAACACAGAGCCAACATGAGCTAACAATCTCTTGCAATGGAGGAAGATCGGAAACAACGCAGGTGTCTGCCTAAATGGCTCAACCTCCGAAATCCAACTCATCAACCTGCACCAACCTACAGGAGAACCGCTGTGTGAATGAAATGATACCAAATCATTGGCCATCAGCTCAGAAGCCGCAAGTCACAAAGCCGTATTCTTATTTCCGTCAACCATCCTTTGGTGCCCGAGCAGTTTGACCACAACCCGTTTCCTTCTGAGGTCAGACACAGCATCCGCCCAAGAGCTACGGCTCCAGTCGGAAACCATGAAAAAGGAGAACGGAAGGCCCGGCCATCTTGGTCTTGAGGTTGGTCTCCCCGTCCAAGTTGGCCGTCTCGATATAGACGTGGCCCTCCTTGTGGGAGGTGGACAGGAGCACCTCGCCATGGCGCTAACAGCTCGCAATTTGAAGGTGACGTCAAAAAGTAGGCCCCCGAATTTTGCCCAGGACCCGGTTTTGAAGGGCAGTGTCGAGTTTCGTTAAAACGGAACACGAAAGGGTCCAAAACAACACATCCTCTGATAGAAGAGAGGTCTTTTGGAGGGCTTTCCGTCTCAGGATTGCCAAGTGTCACGCGAGGGGAATCAATAGCAACAGGGTGATCTGTTTTGCGTGCCAACTTGTTGTTGCAAGAGGCACATAATGATAGAATGTCACCCTTTTTCGGTCCCAAAACAAGCAGCAACATCCTCCCGTGGAATGTTGGGTTCCCGTCAGAAGAAGAGGCATCGACGCATTGGCCTCAGTGAGACGAGCCTGCAGCCAGAGTTGCGCCTGTAACAAACACATGACAGCCAGGCTTCAACATGCCTCGCGAAGACTCATTCCAAGGTGTCTCTTTATGACGTATCTTTGGGGAATACCAAAGGAAATCACGCGCTTTGAGGCTTCCCTCATTTTGAGACAAGCCCAAGTGACTCGCCAAAACCGTAAATGCCACGGCTCGATGCACCAGAGACTCAACATGCAGCTTGGGCGCCAAATCTGCTGGGACGTACTCGTTTTGCCTGGCAGCCGGGCGAAAAGAGATGAACCGTCTGAAACGGGTGGGGTGGGGGGGGGGGGGGGTCATTTTGGCAACTGCAGGATACATGTATATATATATATATACATGCACATAGATACAGTACCTGTATGTATACACATACATATATATATATATTATAAATATATTATAAATATGTACATATATATATATATACACATTTGTATGGGAATCTATGTATCAGAAAGGATATGGATGTCATATCTATCCTGGCATTAACTACTTCGTAGCGCCTTGCACGCTGCAAGTTCTGCTTCCGAAGCTGGGCCAGCGCAAATGCCGACCTCGCCATCGTACCAGTTTTGTTCACATGGCTGTGGGTCAAAAAAGGATACCCATAATGGAATCCAGGTAAATGGAAACATGGACTAAAACCTGCGGTCGCCTAGTGGTTTAATTTTGACCTATACCCACATGTTCAAACCGCTGCTCTTGGCATGGCTGGACATCTGCTCAAAAGTTGCATTGTTGATTGTGACTAACGAAACTGGTGTGTTCCTGAAGCTTAGAAAAGACTCAAATTCAAGCCAAAAGCAATCAGGTTGGCTTGACCTGCTCAGCCCCTGTTTCAGAAAAAATGAGCCCATCAAAGTGTAGAAATTCCGCTGTTGATCTCCCCTGCCCTCTAAGCCGTTTCTGAAACTACACCCCGAATCTCCCCTCGGACGAAGGGCCCGAAATTGCCGGGAAAACTCGGTGTCATCTCTTGGGCAGCGCGGAACATGTCAAATTTACCAAAGCTCTCCCTTCCCGAGTGGATTGGATGTCCAAAACAAGTCAAACTTGCTTACCACTACCCTTCCTCCAACTAACATGGCACCTGTGGGGAGGTATCTGGAAGATGAATATCCTTTTGAAGGGACCCCCTGTCAGTTGCCATGTTGGTGGGAAGGAGGGTAATCGTCGTCCCAAACAGTTCTCACGTCTCAGGGAATGAGAAACCCCCTAACTCAATAGCCATGGCCCATCCTCGCTTCCGCGCCTCACTACCACCAGGCTGCCCACCTCGCGTGCTGCTCAAGCCAAGGCGTGGGTCAAACACATGAGCCCCATCAACTGGCTTGTTGTCTCAACATGTCTCAACCTGACCTCCCACAAACAAGTGCAATTCTGCGCTGTTTGGTTGGGAAACAAACGTCTTCCGGGCCAAAAGAGGGGTTCCAACGTGTGACTTTGAAAAAGATATTGGCGTCCTTTTGGCGTCCTTTCAAAACACGCATTCCTATTCACCAAGTTCTTGCAACTAGTTCTGGAAGGTGAGACATCTTTGAACTAGGCCGGTCCGGGCAAACTGACAGGAGGTCTATGCAAACCAGAAAGAAAACAACAGGGCTCAAAACCGCTCAGCCAGTTGGCAGCAAAATAACGCCACTGGCCAACCCAGCATCACCCTCAACCACCACAACAACCTGGCGGAAGCATAGGGGGTGTTCCCTCCAAAGGTGATATGCACCCCCTCGAAGCTTGGCTTGTTCATTTATCGGGGGTTGTTTGATCAACTGGGTTCCAATGACTCACATTGAACCCCTTGGACGGCTTTGGAGGGAAAGCCACCAGACGCCAACAAAAAAACATCTTGCCTTTTGGTTTCCTGAAGCCCAACACATCTATTGCCGCTTGGGTGTGGGTCAAAAATCGCTCCCCGAAATGAAACCCTGACAAATCTAAGCAAAGACTAAAACCTGCGGTCACCTGGTGGATAAATTTGACCCATACCCACGTAGCCATGGGATGGGGCTGGGGAAACAACGACAACAACGTGAGTCACAATCAAAACCCAGCATTAAAATCGTCAACCCAGAACCATGCTTCAAGAATTAAGAAGGCGGATTGCCGCAACTATTTCTGGCTGGGACGGCCCCTTACTAATCTTCATCTACCCGGGTTTCGGGTTTTGAGCACGTGGCTCACCTGCTTTTTCTGCTCAACCCCCAGACCCTTGGGTCACCTCCGCGCCGGTCCGCGCCGCTTCGAGGGCCGAGTGGCGTGGAGGTCGCACCAGCGCCGGGGCTGCAGGCTCTTGCCGTTCAGCGACAAGACCTGGCGCTCGTTCTCCTCGCCTCGGAGGTCAACAAACCCTCGGCTTTGTATATGGCCATAGACCGATTGGATGAGGCATGGTCCCCTTAAACACCCATTTGACCCCTAAAAACCGTTATAATGGTTGAGATTATAATGCTTAAGGTTCTGGGTACGTATTAAGGATCCAAACTGGAACTATGGTTAATCCCTGCCAGGTGGATGGCCATGGCAAAACCCCGAGCAAAGGTTTCTTTTGACCATGACACTGATTCTGTTTTAACAACCTTTGGCTTCCCTAAAATTCGTACTAGTAGCGGCTGGTTGCTCAACATATGGATATGACTTTTTAAGTTGGGGACCTTACGTGGGGTTCCAACTCTTCAACATGTATGGCCAGATCCGGCCGACCCAACAAAAGCGGGAAAAGTCCGCCGATGTTCGAATAAGCAAATGTTGGGTAGACAAAGTGTTTGCTCTATCCAGTATCCAGGAAATCCCATGGGAGAAACAGGGAACCCTAACAGGGCTCAGTGAACAAGTGGCCTTCGATGTCCCCAAACCATTGCGCTTGGTGACTTGCTTGGAACCTAGATCAGTCACCCTGGTGTAAAGAGGTTGAACGAAGTCGTTGGGGGTAACGCCCGAAACAAAACGGCCAAATGGCACGCTGCCGCCGAATTGGATCAAGCAAAGGTTGCGAACTTACCGAAACAAAGATCTTTGCATATCTTTGCACTGAAGTGGTGGCAGGGTTCTTTTGGAATCTTCTCAAAAGTGCGAATCGTGCAAACCGTGTGCCTGAGGGAAACCCCGGAATCCGCTTGAATCATCTCTGAATCCAAAAGACGGGGATGAAGGCTGACAGCTGGAAAGAGTCACCAAGGAATCCGGCCAGGAGCTTGCTTTGCGGCTCGCACGCTTGCGCTTGCCACAGCTTTAGGGAACGAACCCCGGTGAGCCCGGGCCACACGCGCCACAGTGAAAATGATCTTGCTCCGCTTCCGGGGCAGGAGAAGTTGAGCTGGGAAACTCACAAACCAACCGGAAAATTTTTTGTGAGCCCTGGAAGCAAACTGAAATTGCGAAATGTCAAACGGAAGCAAACGGGAAACTTCACCGATTATTCACAGAATTCACAAACCGGGAAATGTTTGAGCAAACCTGATATTGATTCTTCTGTTGCGTGCCCTTTTGCAGCTGGCTAAAAAAAGGGCAAACCAGCCGGCAACACGCCATTTGTTGTGTCTAAATTCACTACTTTGACCGCCCACATGGTCTTGCTGTAGCCACCCTGTCGCCGAGCTGCGGTCGGATTTGTGCCGCCGCCAGTCCTCCAGCGCGTCCTGAAAAGCTTTTCTCAAGTGGACTAGCCGCTCGTCACATCCAAACATTTCATGAAAACTATACTTGTTTGGGTGTGGCTCAAAATACAAGAGCTAGGGTTACGCAGGTTTTAGTCTTTGGTTCTACTTAGCAAGATGCCATTTTGGTACATACTTTTGAGCCACAGCCGATTCTTCCTTCCGAATCATCCCCCCCCCAGAAAGACGTCCTCAGCATTGGCATGCTTCATACACATCGAGGGCTTCTCAATTTTGGGCTGTGTGCGCAAATGGTTAAAACACAAACGCTGGGGACGTCCCCCTCTTCGAGAGAAACGCTATCATTACTGTTTCCCTTTTGTCTATCGTGGTGCGCTGCCAGGAAACTCATGGTTTGGACCGAGACCGTGCCGAAAAGATCAAAAGGTGCGTGGCTAGTATACAAACCCACGTGAGAGTGTCTCCAGGGTGATGTCTATCTTTGTGTCTTGAGCCACCCCAAATAGCCGGCCAACTAGACATAGTTTGGATCACACGTATCAAGTAGGCACCGCCATGTTTTGAACGATCCAAGGGTCGGGACAAACAACCGCCAAGCAGCCTGCGAGACCACAGTGCAAGGCTTGTCACCAACAGATCGGTGCTTGCTGATGCATGGTCATGCCAGGTCCTTGAGAGCGTTCATGCATATCACTGTCCTCGGCTTCAAATCGCTCACACCGCCAAGGACCGCTAAATGAGATGGCGACCAGCATCGTGTATCGCTCGAAGCGGAAAAAAAGGCAGACTGATGGGCACGTAGAGTGTACTTTTGTCGCACCAACTTGGCCGGACTCCCTTCCTGCTTGTGGATATCGAGAAGGTTGGGAACACCAAGATCCCAACAATAAATGGACACCCACCTGACAGCAGCAACACGCTCTGGGCATGCCATTGCCATTCCTGCCATTCCAAGCAGGCTCTTTCCAAGTCGGGAGTCGTCATGAAATCGCTCCTGACCACTCGTTAAAACAGCAACTCAGTCGAATTTCTCGCCAGGGCGCACCAGTGGTAAAGAGATGGTGGGAATCTGCCCAGTCACCGTGACCTCACGAAGAGCTTCGGAGTCTTTGATGCCGTCGATTGGGTGAGGGTCGTTCAGAGTGCTTGTAGTGTGCGGTGAACCCCGGAAGGGCACACAGTGATGAGTAAACGTGGTTTTCCAGCTTTAGGGCAACCAGGATGTAGGAAAAGCACCCTTGTCAATGAAGTCACGCGCGAGTGGGAATGATGGAGTAATATTTGGCAGGGCTCTGAGAACCTTTCTGGGGGTAAGGAAGGCTAATATGCCTCCTTTGTGTACAGGAAATCCAAATAAGACCCACCAACAAGACCAACCAGTTTAGCCAATTTGTGGGACAACTATTGTTGGGAAAGTGGTGAGCTGCAGTGGCAAAACTCTCCAACAACCTCTCAACTCATCTCCAAACAGGAGATTTGGTGGACAGCGCTTCGGAAACAGCTCTGGAAATCGTTGCGCTATTGGATCCACCCAAAAACACAATTTTAGCATCAACAGTGGGGCCCTAGTTCCAGGAATAGCTGGGAATCAGTACAACCTGAACCTGCTGCACTTGCCTGTCCCTAGCTACATGGTCTGATCATCACAATCACAAGCCTAAAACCCACCAGGTCTTTTTTCCTTCGGCCTCCGGGATCATCTGCAAGCACATCAGGAAGAGGAAGTACAGGTTCGCGGGCTTCTTGAACCTCGGCTTGAGAAGGGCTCCAGTGGCCCCTTTGGAAGTCCCATCAACGCGTGGGACCCCGGTGTACCTGTGGAAAAGAATTGAAGGCATGTGGAACATGGACCCAGAAAAAAGCTGCCGTCACAAAGAAGCCCCTCCATGAAGCTTCGAAAAGCATCGAAATCCCGAGAAAAAAAGAGAGAAAAAAGTGAGGGAGAGAGTCACTAACCTTGGAATCATCTTGCTTCACCAATCACCCCTGCTTTCTCATTGCAACATGGGCACTGATGGGATTTAAACCAAGGACCTCTGTCCTCAGGCGGTTGCCCAAAAAAAAGAGAGCGCGCTGCCATTGCGCAGGTCCCACAAACTCCACGCTCCAAACAGAAACGCACCTAAAACACTCCTGCTCAGCTGCAATTCTTCGAGCTTCACCTTCCGAGGTTTCGATTGCGCCAACCATCCTGAAACTCACCGCCCAACCTTCGCCCAGGCGCTGCTCCATCAAGTTCTGCGGCACGAAGGTCAGCATCGTGTAGTGCCTGGGGCGGAGGGTCGGTCGCAGGCGTCTCTGAATTGGTCTGTTCACCAAACCGGAAAAGTTGAAACCCGGCGAAAAAATGGGCCTTAAGAGTGCACAAGCGGGCTATTTATATGGTTGGTATCCTTTTGGCTTCCTTGAAACACTTTCCAAAAGCGGGGGCCCCATCTCGAACAAAAAAACTGCCAAGTTCACATGGAATCACAGTCGTTGCCGGACCTCAAGCAACCACTTGGCTGCATACCCGATGCATTGACAATGCCGCGCGCAGCTCAATAATAATGAAGGCAAAGGCAGCACCCCTGGCCAATCCTGCTTTGAACATGTCAACAACACGATTGTTCAAACAAACGTCTGATATGGGGGAGCAGAGTCTCATTGTGCAGTGGCATTCTTCAAGAAGCAGTATCCTTACCGAATCCATCATCCAAGGAGAACCATTCCTGATTTACCTGAAGAGCCAATCAAACGTGGACAGTATCACATCAGCTGAACCTCGGGCGGCTCTTCGTCTTCTGCTGTTTCTTGGTATCTGGGGCCATGAGAAACAACGGGCATACTCCTCCGTGTGGCCTTGAAGGGTCCCACCCGACAGCGAAAACGGCAAAGAGCCAAAGAAAAGGTCTCTGGTCTGCACAGCAAGCTATCCACAAGAACCTTCGCAGACTCACCACGCAGTTCGGCCAAGGCGCGAGGTGACTACTCTGTTGTCGCAGATGGTCTTGTCTTCCTGGCGTCCAATGTCCAATGTGCCCTTTTCACCGCGGAGGCTTGGGCAAGCGCAATGACGCAAACCCTGGCTGCATACAATGTTCACAATACAGGCATGGCATTCCGAAAACATGGTTGACATTGGAAGGGGAGCAAAGCTTCAATTTTAGCTGCTAAGTGGGGATTTCCCACTAAATCACAATAAGCAAAATTTTAAAATGTTTCCCAACAACAACCATGAAAATGAGGGGGAGGCTGCCAAAAATGATTGGGTTCCTTCGGGTTTCCCTTGAGAACTTATCTTAAAGCGGCTCCAGGTCCGGTTTGAGAACAACCATGCGCGGGTATGTCTCGAATCTGGCATGGACCCCTTCTTGGTGGTCTTCCTGACCAGGAGCCCTTTTCGCTGGGGAACCCAGTCACGAATACGCAGCTCAACCTCCAGGTCATGAGATCAGCGAGTCAAGAAGGACCATGATGAACATGGGAATGAACGCAGAGTACCACAACCTCATCGCCCTTCAAATGACCTCATGGCCCGGTCTGGGAATCCACCACAGCCGTCTTTGTCCACGCCTGACAAAGGCGCACATGCCGGTTCTGCTGCTCTTTGGTGGCAACCTGACGTGGCGCCGCCTTCTTTCGCGGGGAGTCCGCCCACCCCGAAATGAGGAATGTTGTGGAGTTGCTTCAAAGGGAAATCAAAGGAGAAAAAGGCGATCTTCTGGGGTGGGGGTCATTGTTTGTAGACCAAAAACAAACGCTGCCCTTCCGGAGCAAGGACGCACACCGCTAGGGTTGGGACAAACCGCTGAACAGGTTGAAGCCATGATAGCTTAAAAACTATGTCCAAAAAACGCTCGGTCACTTTTCGAAGCCCTGAAATGGATGGCTCACTATGACGGTGAAACTTGGCGGCGGTCTTTGGGGTCCGAGTCCTTGTCCGGACCCGTGCCTTAACTTTTCGTTGGTCTGAATGGATGGTGGGCAGCTGTTGCTCTACAGAGTTGCTCTACAGAAGCCCAGCCCAGGCAAGGATGTGTCACTACATCAAGCCCAACAGGCAACATGCGGGTGGTGAATTCACAAACGGTTGGATGGCGCACATGGCCATGGGTCAAAACCCAAATTGTACCCCCAGTGAACATCCCAATCCCCACTAAAATTGGTTCTAAAATGGGTGAATTCACCTACCCTAAAATGGCACCATTGGTTTTGACCGACATCTCCATTCGCAAGAATTCCAAGCCCAAGGGATCCAAGTAGATCACCGGCAACACGCTTCTCGCTCGTACCCTCGTATCGGGTTTCCGCCTGCGCTGCCATCGAGCCGACCTGGACGGGCTGCGCGTGTTCCAGATAGGCGGTGATCTAAACAAAGACCTCCCCTTTTTGGTGTCCTTTTGGGGGAAATCAACAATTCTCCGTCCCCATTTGGCTTCTTGTGGGAATAAAAACAAACAGAGGTTTTCCAGCACCCGTATGTGCCTAGGTATCCTCTTCGAAGATCAAGGAACATCCCTAGCAATCACAAGTAACGTCATGTCATGGCACATGTGGCAATCCGATCGCTCCTGACTCCACCAGTGTGGAAGCTCAGGTGAACCGACATCGATTCGTTTAGACCCATAATTTTTTGGCACACTATGTGTTCAATGTCCAACTTCTGTCAAACAACACTGGACCATGTTTCGGGTTGGCTGCCCCCCCCATTCGTGACAATTTGTTCTCGATGCCGCAATCTCCAAACGTTTCCCGAGGAGACCGGCGCCCCTCTGTGTGGCTAGAAGCACAACGTTTTCCAGGATACACTGAAAATGAGCATTTGACGAGGCTAAACGAAAATGCTGCACTTGTTTCCGGATGTATTAGTGCAGCGCAGATCACGTGATTTGCCAAGCTGCAACTTGGTGAGTTTTGAGTTTCAGGAGAACTCAAAGGTGCCAAGTCACCCAAAAACTATGCGTGCCATGCAACTAGCATGTAGTGCTTCAGCATCGTTTTACGGCCTTGCGCAAGAACCAGGAGCTTTCAGTGCATGTGTGCAAGGATGATAGTCATAGTCAAACCACAGTTTCACAACAAACGCCGCGGATCACAGAGTTCCCCTATGCAGTCAAGGGAAGAGCAACGAATCCAAGTCATACCAATTGAAACCGGTCCGGTTGCTGGGATTGCGGGACAGCTTCCTGCCGCCCAAAATGTCCCAAACCGCCGCTCGCATCAACTCGCCTGCGGCACAGGCACCGCGTGCCCCGGAAAGGGGGCAGCCACCCTAATGTTCCCTAAGGTGATCTAGGTATCCTGAGCCGAATGCCGCGCGATCTGCAAATGCCGAGGCGGCGACCAGACATTGCCAGGAAAGAAAAGACAAACAAGAAGGGCTCAACATGTAGTCGTTTTTCTTGGTCACTGGATCTTCAACATTGAAAGCGGTAAAGGCAAGTGCAAGCAGCTGGCAACAATAACAACTGAGACACCTTTGGAGTGTGTCCGCTTTGCTTGTGTCCAAGAACCCTCCAACATGCTTCGTGACCATACCGCGCTCTCAAATGAGGAGCCATTTCATAGGTGTGGGGGTTGCTCAACGGCACAATGGATACGTGTCGAATGGGGCACCCCAAAATGCAAAACGTGTTCTCCTTATACCAAACACCAAACACGAAACGCGGCCAGAGCGGCAACCGCCAGAAGCCGCTGGAGCTAAGTCGCGTCCAGAAGCCGCTGGAAGAAATAGCTTGATGATGTCCAAATATAGGAGACCCCCCCCATTGTGTGGGGCGTTAGAAAGATACACCAGGAAACCACACGTCTTTTGGTAAGCCCCGGGTTGACTTGCCCAACTCTAGGAGTTCTCAGGATGCAGAGAAACGGCCACTCCAAATGAAAGAATTCATTCTAGGAATCCAATTCGAAAACGAATCACAAAAGAAGATGATCCCATCGAATCCCCTCACTCAATCCCATTGAACCTCTGCCACAAAAGACTTCCAAGGCTACCAACCACCACTCAATGGCTGTAGTTAGAAACCAGCGCATTTGCGAAGGTGAAGGCTGCTTGTGCCTATTGACCGCACATCAGGTGTTTCCGACAATTGCAAACATGCCCTCCCGAAGAGGCTCCAGGCACGAGGCATGGCTGTCTGGACTTGTGAAATGGTGAGCTTCTCCTTCCAGAATGCTATTCCCCAACCCTCACCTGCCTTGGAGCTTGCCCCGGCAGCTACGTATCAGGTCTTCGCCAATGTTGGATTTGAAACGAGCCGGTTCACCGGGCTTCCAGGAGGGTGGGTGGCTTCACGAGGTTGCATCCACATGAGCAACTGGCAGAACTACTTGAAAACCCCCAAAGAAGGGGCATGGGAAAATGTGGTTGCGTGTGGTCCCCCTGTTCTTGTGACTTTGAACTTCTTTGGTAAAAACCAAACCAACTCAGTGAGTTGGTAAAGGTGACCCTCCCAGAAGTTGGCCCCGGCACGTAGAAGGCGGCGCGCTTCCTAAGCGAGGGAGCGGCTGGGAAAACTTCCTGTTGCTCGTACAGTCATCCATGGGTGGATAGCATACAACAAATCCGAACTTGAAACATATCACTTCACCATATATATCCGTTGCTCTCTTCCTCATCCCTGACTCATCCTGTGAAACTTTGCAAGGTATGAGGTGGTGAGTCACCAAAGACATTTTGGGTCACGAACAGCACTCGGCACGGGGCAAGATATGCGCTACTTGACGCCCAGAAAGGCAGGTACCAATGTTCCGTGTCTCGGTTTGCTCGTCTCAATCTACGACTTGTGCGGGAACAAGTAGCCCGTGAAGAGTAGCACGAACGAGATAGAGCTCCAATCCGTCCGGGGTTGCGCAAAAGGGTCACTGCTTGAACAGGCCAAATGGGGAAGGGACAAAACCTGGGCCCACCTCCCCAGAAGGAAGCTCACTCAAATCTTGGTTGACGTTGGAAGGGGAGCAAGAATCTAAATTTTAGCAGTTAAGTGGGGATTTCAACCACTAAACCAGCAAACATGTAAAATGTTTCCCAACAGCAACCATGAAAAGGTGATGTTACACCGAAGAGGGCGATCTGGCCCGTATAAAACTCGGCGAAGGAAAGGACACACCTGGAGCCTCGCTGGAGCGATTTTCGGGTCCCCCGCAGGAGGTTCTGCGCCATGGCAGCGAGAATTCGCTCACAAGGAATGGAAGAGTATGCAGCAAATGGCTCGATTCCACTGTGTGGCATGGTTTGATCCCTTTGTTGTATCTCAAAAAATGGTTTGAACCTCCTTTTGGGATGGTGTTAGCGGTGCACCCGCTTTTTCGGTGCCATATTTTTTGAGATGGGTGCATGCCGCATTCTGGGCCCATAGATGCGATACATGCCTTTCAAGTGTAGAAATCCTCTTGAACCCCAGGGCTTTTTATCTCAACAGCCAGGGAAGCAAGCGAAGAATGGGGGATGA